AAAAAAATGCTTACAGAATGATGCTATTCATGCAAAATTCAATGTCAGGTTGGAAGCAGGATAGTGGTTACCTTTTGTAGCACAGCAAGTAAAGGGAATACAAACAGGACTCTTGGGGTGCTGCCAATGTAACTTACCTTTCGGTTGGTTATGTAAATATGTATACTTTGTGAAAATTATTAAGTTTTATACATATAATGTATCTTTTTTACTTGTATAAAAAGTTTAAATAAAATGGAATGTTAAACCCATGAAAATAACTATGGGTTAAAAAAAAAGATGCTGATTTATGGTGGGGATGGGGGGAGTGGAGCATGGGAGGAACAGACAAACTTTAGAAAGAGCAAAGGGGAAGGAGAGGAAAGAAGGGGACATGGGGGTAGGAAAGATGGTAGAATGAGATGAACATCATTACTCTAGGTACATGTACGAAAACATGGTGTGGCTCTACTTTGTGTACAATATGAAAAACTGTGCTCTATTTATATAGTATGAATTGAATTCTGCTGTTATATATAATAAATTAGAATAAATAAAATAAAAAATAAGCCACAAAAAATTCTGAGTAGTCAAAAACTAAACACACACACACACAAAATGAGTAGCCAAATTACTGAACTTTGTGAAAATAGAATAAAACCATTTTCACATTTGCAAAATCTCAAAAAAATTTACCTCCGTTTATCTTTTACAAGAATGCCACTCCCATTCATGGACATCATCACAAAGAAGAAATTGAACAAGATGGCAAAATGAGGTATAGAAAACAGGCATTCCACAGAAAAAACAAGAATAATCCTTTAAGTGACAGTGAAAAGGGATCCAATTATAACAGCTAAGCATAAGCAGAAAGTAAAACCAGTCTAGACTAAAGCACATAAAAATATTTCGTATTTCTTCAAGATGATGAAAGTAACATAATGCCTCATGTTTCTGACCATACTGAAGGACAGCTTAAGTAACAGGTAAAAAATATGGGTTCAATTACATAGAAAACTAGGGTAGTAAGAAGAAATCTAGGATGACCTAAGTTTCGCCTCTGGAGTACTCATACTATTTCTCCATTATTCAATCAAATACTAACATGGATACTAATGGGAAGAAATTTTACAGATGTAATTAAGTCTGCTATCAACTGACCTTAAGATAAAACTATTATCCAGGTAGGCCTACTTACTCACATGAGCTTTTTAAGAGAGTTTTCTCTCGCTAGTTGCATAAAGGGCAGTCAGAGATTGAAGACCTCAGAAGATTTGACATGTAAGAATTTCTCCATGTTGAAAGAATGTGTGGTCTATAAAAAATGAAAGGATTCCCCTGCTCACATTCCTCAAATAAGCTGGAACCTTCATACCACAGATCAAGGAACTACATTCTGTCAACAAACTGAGTGAATATGGTAAGATTTTTTTCCATAAAGATTCCCAGGGAAACTTGGACTGGCAGATACCTCAATTTCAGCCCATTAGACTCTGATCAAAATTTAGACATGGCATACCAGATTTCTGACTTACAAAATTATGACCTAATAAGTGGATGTTGTTTTAAATCACCAGATTTATGGTAATTTGACACATAGCAACAGAAACTATGATACTAAGCAAAGAAGTAGCTGTTGGAAAGATGGTATGAAAAAAAGAAAATTAATATATACCTTAAATATACTTTGTACAGTTAAAAAACTTGACCCATAATCGTGTCCAAGTTAACTTATAATAACTTTATAGGGAGAATGGAGAGATGGAAGTGACACAAAAGGTTTAATAGGATTAAATCTTCATCTAGTAAGGAAGTCAAGAGGTGATGAACTATTTAAATCAAGAATAAATAACACATGCACATTACACAGATTTTATAAACAAAAAGATCCATCCATAAGAAAAGTAGATTCCTCCACTAAGCAGGAAATAAAGAGGAGCAGAGTACTGTCACTTTTCAACAACAACAACAAAAATCTTCAAAACAGGTAGAGGTGTTCACACTTGTAATCCAGCTACTCAGGAGGCTGAGGCAGGAGGATAACAAGTTGCAGGCCAGCTTGAGCAATTAATACCCTGTCTCAAGGGGCTGGGGCTGGGGCTTGGCTCAGTGGTAGGGTGCTCCCCTAGCATGCACGAGGCACTGGGTTCAGTCTTCAGCACCACGTAAATGTAAAATAGAGACATAAATAAAATGTACAAGTAACAAAAAAAAAAAATACCCTGTCTCAAAATAGAAATCAAAAGTGCTGGGATGTAGCTCAGTCGTAAAGAATCCCTCAGTTGGGTAGTGGGTGATAAATCTTAAAAACAACAACAAAAGGGCTGGGGGTATGGCTCATGATAGTACCCTTGCCTAGTAATATATGAGGCTCTGGGTTCACTCTCCAATACCACAAAAAGACAAACAAAAAACAACTTCAAAAGCTGACTCCTTAACGTATCCACATAGATAAACCCTTAAAAGAAATAAAAATCTACCACGTTCTCTCATTCCTTGGGAGTTTTACAGATGCTGCTCAATTTGGCAAAAATACCCTTAACATCCTCATCCCTAAATCACCATCTCATTAACATCCACTCCCCTCCCTACTTTTAAAATACTATTTAACACATGCATATTACAACACCACCATTTGGATACCATCTCTGCCTCCAGCCAGGTCTTTGCTGACACCTCACTTTAGCCTTCAAACAATATAGATAACCCTACACAGGTTCCCATATCACCATATTATCACTGATAAAAGAGCCCTTTAATGACAAAGTTAATTTTCCTAGATAGTCACCTCACAAAGAGCCTGCCCTATTTACTTCTACATCTAAGTTCCTAGTATCATGCACTATACATTGTAGGCCCTCAAATTTTTTATTATCTAAATTAAATACCTCTTTCCACTAAAGCCAACTATTACAGACTAGAAAGTTCATTTTTAGCCAGTTATAGACTTCTGCAGGCAAAGACTACCAAAGCCTGGGTTTCCAGCTTTGTAAAAAATACAGAAGGAAAACACAGAAAAGCTTACACTATCATCTGTTACAAGCCAAAAGATGACCACAGTTTTCAAGAAAGGAACCTACCAATAAACTTAATTGTCCCAAATGATTAAAGTTTCACTTTTAGTATCAATTATTATATGCTTATTTCAAAAGGGCAGGTAATTATTTTACACCCCTGTCCCTATACAGACATACAGGGGAGTTACCATGATTAAAGAACCCAAACATTCCACAAGGTTTTTCAGGCTTACTAAGATTCCCTGAAGTAGTACTGTCTAAGTAGAAACTAAAGGTGGGGTTTTTGTTCTTGTTTATTTTTAAATCTTCCTCACAAAACTCCCCAAATGAATCTAAAAGGACATTTTGGCAGACATATAATATGAAGAATCTGGAAGGCATTCTTAGTTCTGTTAAAGATGCAGTGCAAACTCATCACTAATCTTCTGTTATGGTTTTTTTATTTATTCTCTTTTACAAGAGGAATATAATCTTTTTTTTTAAAAAAAATTGTAGCTGTAGATGGACAGAATGCCTTTATTTTATTTGTTTATTTTTATGTGCTGCTGAGGATCAAACCCAGTGCCTCATGCATGCCACTGAGCCAGAGGCTCTGCCCTAAAGAAATATAATCTTTATAGAATAATCATAAGAATTAAAGGGTAGACAGAATGAGACATGTTTTTGAAGAGCTTTTGTGGGGGCAAAAGAAGTATTACTGTTTAATGGTATAATTTCCATTTTATAAGATGAAAAGAATGTGTGCACAACATTATAAGTATTTAATATTACTGAACGTTATACCTAAAATTGGTTAAGATGGCAAATTTTATATTATCTAAATTTTATCAAAATAAAAATAGGGGTAAATGTGCTTTAAAATATTTTGTATCACTATTCATCTACCTAAAACTAATACAAATTTGTAACTATAAAATTCATCCTTAAATATTCATGAAAAGAAAGGTTTTTAAAAACATAAAAATTTCACAGTAATAATTCTGCTTTTTGGGGGGAGTGGTGGGAGAGGCAGGTACTAAGGACTGAACTCAGGGAAACTTGACCACTGAGTCACAGTCACACCTCCAGCCCTATTTTGTATTTTATTTAGTAACAGGGTCTCACTGAGTGCTTAGGGCCTTGCCATTGCTGAGGCTGGCACTGAACTCACAATCCTCCTGCCTCAGCCTCCCGAGCCACTGGGGTTACAGGTATGCTCTACCATTAGCTGTAATTCTTGATTTAGAGGAAGATCTCCCCAGTTGAAAAATTTTCAAACTCAGAAGTGAAGGCAATAAAATCACTTGAGCATATTCAGACCAATATATTTTACTTCTTGGCCTTAAGCCTGTTCCTGTCAATATGTTACAACTACAATGCTTTTTTTTCTTTTTCTTTTTTTTTTTTTTTGGTGGTGCTGGAGATTGAACCCAGAGCTTTGTGCATGCAAAGAAAGCACTATACCTACCAGTTGAGCTATATCCCCAGCCCTACAATTCACTTTAAAATGTGAACGAAAATCCAGGTTGCTCTCTCAGAAGTTTCAGGTTCCTCTCTGTTACATGTATTATTAACACTTCAAAATCAAAATGTATAAAATGAAATTTACTGCTCTTCCCTCAAAAGCAATTACCTGTTTTCTTTCCTTCCCAGATAATGAAAGGGAATTTTTTTTAAATTTTAAATCAAAGATAAAGAGAAAAAAAATGTAGAATAAGTTGATGAAGAAGAGCCGTGAACACCAGGAAAACTGCATGCACAGTACAACTGAAATCAAGAGTTCATCATCACCGAAGAGCACAACATTTAGTAAAAGAAATTATCATTTAAAAGTACAAGATCTCTCAAATGTCCTCAAAAAAATCTCCCAAGTAAACATAAAAAAGTGTTTTTTAAGACTGCTATACATAAAAGAAAGGAAAAATGTGAAGCTGTCCACTACAATTAACATAAATCACAGGAAAACAATGAAAAATTTTTGACAAGAACAAAAAATACTTGAGACACTCTGGAGAAGTAACTTACCTGAACAAGATGAATAAGCGTTGTCAAAATAGCACATCTTAACATATTGTGTTCTTCACTCTGCTTCCAAAGAAGAGGCAAATATTGCACCAAACATCCTACATATGGTCGTATCTACCACAACAGAAGAGGAAGAAAGAGAATTATATGAGTGAATAAGGCAATTTACTTTGAGAAACACTGACATACTCCTAAGTCCGAGGCAACAAATATTTAGTATTTACTAAATATATTAAGATAAATCAGATATTATATGGAGACCCAGAACTCGATACAAATAATTTAAAAAGAATTTAAAAGTATCAAATATACTGAATGAAATATACTTTATGAAAATAAAACATTCTCACAAGTTAATAGAAAATGATGTCATATATGCTTTGTTTTTAATAAAACAGCTTACCTAAGTGCAAATTATACTGTTTCAAAAAAGAACCAGCGTTTGTTCATTCATTTAACAATTATCTGATGGCATCTTCCCAGTTTCAGACACTTAGGACAAGGCACTGGAAAGAAAAACTATATACAGAAACTATATAAACCCTTATTGTGAAAAATAATACGTGCAATGGTAAAGGTATAACAAGATATGGTGGGAAAACAAGGGAAGAAAACCATTTTTGAAGGATAATATTGTTATGCCCACTATGATTAAGTTAATCTGTTTGTAGAGGAGGGAAAAAAAATAAAACATAGCACAGCTTGACAGTGTGTTTCTTGAAAAGTAAAATAGATCTAGTGTAGATCCCTACACTAGAGCTAGACAGTGTTCCAGCTCCAGGCTTAGGACTATGGTATCTGAAATCACTGAGAAGGATATCCTTGATTATAAAACAGAAATATTAGACATTCATAGCTTTAGCACTATCCGAATCTTATGAAATAAGATAAAACATTACTCTCAGAAAGGGTTTCTTTATTCTGTGTATGCAACATTGAACTTTAAAAGGGTAGCAAAACAACTATAGGATTTATTCCCCTTCCTAGTGATGGTGGTAACAAAACTTAAATTTATATCTGTTCAAATATTTCAGTGAGATATAACTAAACAATTATTAAGAAATGTATTTATTACCTTGCTTTCATGTAATAGATTCATCATCTACTATGTTATTTTCAAAATTTGAATCATATTATTATACCGTTAATACTGAAAACTTAACTCTTTGTCTAAGTGTTTCCTACTTAAGATCACTTCAATTAACTTAAAGCAGGGAATTATGATATAAACAACACATTTCTCTGACTGCTAGAGATGGTGAGCATTTTTTCATGTACTTGTTGATTGATTGTATGTCCTCCTCTGAGAAGTGTCTGTTCAGGTCTTTGGCCTATTTGTTGATTGGGTTATTTGTTTTCTTACTGTTTAATTTTTTGAGTTCTTTGTATACTCTGGATATTAGGGCTCTATCTGAAGTGTAAGGAGTAAAAATTTGTTCCCATGATGTGGGCTCCCTATTTACCTCTCTTACTGTTTCTCTTGCTGAGAAAAAACTTTCTAGTTTGAGTAAGTCCCATTTGTTGATTCTTGTTATTAACTTTTGTTCTATGGGTGTCCTATTAAGGAATTTGGAGCCCGACCCCACAGTATGTAGATCGGAGCCAACTTTTTCTTCTATCAGATGCAGAGTCTCTGATTTGATATCAAGCTCCTTGATCCATTTTGAGTTAACTATTGTGCATGGCGAGAGAAAGGGATTCAGTTTCATTTTGTTGCATATGGATTTCCAGTTTTCCCAACACCATTTGTTGAAGATGCTATCCTTCCTCCATTGCATGCTTTTAGCCCCTTTATCAAATATAAGATAGTTGTAACTTTGTGGATTAGTCTCTGTGTCCTCTATTCTATACCATTGGTACACCCGCCTGTTCTGGTACTAGTACCATGCTGTTTTTGTCACTATTGCTCTGTAATATAGTTTGAAATCTGGTATCGCTATACCGCCTGATTCACACTTCCTGCTTAGAATTGCTTTTGCTATTCTGGGTCTTTTATTTTTCCATATGAATTTCATGATTGCTTTATCTATTTCTACAAGAAATCCCGTTGGGATTTTGATTGGCATTGCATTAAACCCATAGAGAACTTTTGGTAATATCGCCATTTTGACAATGTTAGTTCTGCCTATCCATGAACAGGGTATATTTTTCCATCTTCTAAGATCTTCTTCTACTTCTCTCTTTAGGGTTCTGTAGTTTTCATTGTATAAATCTTTCACCTCTTTTGTTAGGTTGATTCCCAAGTATTTTATTTTATTTTTTGAGGATATTGTGAATGGAGTGATTTTCCTCATCCCGTTTCAGAAGATATGTCGTTGATATACAGAAATGCCTTTGATTTATGCGTGTTGATTTTATATCTTGCCACTTTGCTGAATTCATTTATTAGCTCTAGTAGTTTCTTTGTAGACCTTTTGGGTCTTCTAGGTATAGGATCATATCATCCGCAAATAGTGATAAAGTTCTTCTTTTCCTATTTTTATACCTTTAATTTCTTTTGTCTGTCTAATTGCTGTGGCCAGAGAAATGCAAATCAAAACCACCCTAAGATACCATCTCACTACAGTAAGATTGGCAGGCATTATGAAATCAAACAACAACAACAAGTGCTGGTGAGGATGTGGGGAAAAGGGTACACTTGTACATTGCTGGTGGGATTGCAAATTGGTGCGGCCAATTTGGAAAGCAGTATAGAGATTCCTGGGAAAGCTGGGAATGGAACCACCATTTGACATAGCTATTACTCTTCTTGGTCTATTCCCTAAAGACCTAAAAAGAGCATGCTACAGGGGTACTGCTACATCGATGTTCATAGCAGCACAACTCACAATAGCTAGACTGTGGAACCGACCTAGATGCCCTTCAATAGACGAATGGATAAGAAAATGTGGCATTTATACACAATAGATTATTACTCTGCACTAAAAAATGACAAAATCATGGAATTTGCAGGGAAATGGATGGCACTAGAGCAGATTATGCTAAGTGAAGCTAGCCAATCCCTAAAAAACAAATGCCAAACGTATTCTTTGATATAAGGAGAACAACTAAGAACAGAGCAGGGAGGAAGAGCATGAGAAGAAGATTAATATTAAACAGGGACAAGAGGTGGGAGGGAAAGAGAGAGAGAAGGGAAATTGCATGGAAATGGAAGGAGACCCTCATTGTTATACAAAATTACATATAAGAGGAAGTGAGGGGAAAGGGAAAAAAAACGAGAGAAATGAATTATAGTAGATGGGGCAGAGAGAGAAGATGGGAGAGGAGGGGAGGGGAGGGGGGACAGTTGAGGATAGGAAAGGTAGCAGAACCCATCAGACACTAGTATGGCACTATGTAAAATAGTGGATGTGTAATCGATGTGATTCTGCAATCTGTATACGGGTAAAAATAGGAGTTCATAACCCACTTGAATCAAATGTATGAAATATGATGTCAAGAACTATGTAATGTTTTGAACAACCAATAATAAAAATTTAAAAAAAATAAACAACACAGGTTTCAACATACCAAACTCAACACAATCTATTGATAAGGAAAATAAGACTGAGTTTATAAAAAATAGAAATGATACTCCAAAGAACAGAAGGTGGGGTAATAAAATCAAACAACCTAGTTACATATAAAAGCCATAATATATATATGTACACACACATAAACATATATATAAAAATTTTAACTTTTTAAAAAATTTTTTTAGTTACAAATGGACACAATACTTTTATTTTATTTATTTTTATGTGGTGCTAAGGACTGAACCCAGTGCCTCAGATGTGCTAGGCAAGCACTCTATCACTGAGCCACTACCCCAGCCCTCAATCTTAGCTTTTTATTAGAATATACATTCTAACTTAAAGTTAATGCTTCAAAAACAATGCTTCAAAAATCACTTATAGTCACTATTGTTAAAAACAAAAAATCAAAAGGGCTGGGGATTAAAGATAGAGTGGTAATATGAGAACCAAAAAATATTTCAATGAGGTAGAGAAACCATGAAGTCAAATGTTGCATCTCCTAATAAAAACTGGTATGAAGTTCCTCAACATATGAGCCAGCAATCTCAAAAGAATTGAAATTAGGATCCTGAAGAGATCACTCATAATCTATGAGTTCATTTTAGCATTATTCACAATAGCCAATATGTACAATCAACTTAAATATCCATCAACAGACTGAATGGTTAAAGAATTATTTTTTATATAAAAAATAGCATACATAATCAGCTGTGTCTATAATTTATACATCCTCAGATCAAACCTTGAATGGAAAATATTCAGGAAACAATTGTGTCTGTATTAAATATGTACAGACTGGTTTTCTGTCATTGTGTTAAATAATACAGCACAATAATTAATACAGCACAATAATTACTAATGCAACAATTAAAATGCACTAGCTATTATTAGTAATCTAGATATGGTTTAAAGTAAATAAGATATGCAAATATTACATATTTTTATACAAGGGACTTTAGACAGATACAAATTTTGAAATGCTGAAACCAATCCCCTGAGGATATCAAGTGATAACCATACATTAAAAAAATTCTGCTGTATGTGACATGGACTTTTAAGGACTTTATGCTAAATTAAATGTCTGTTTCAGAAAGATGAATATTGAACAATTCCACTTATAAAACATACCTAAAATAGTCAAATTCATTGAATCCAAGAGTGGAATAGTGGTTACCAGGGGCAATGAGGAAGGAAATGAGAGGATTTAGAGATCAATGAGTATAAATTTTCTGTTAATCAAGACTGTTCATTTTGCTGTACAACACTGTATCAATAGTCAACAATAATATGTTGTATACTGAAAGATTTGTTTATAAATCTCTCTCTTGTTAAGTGTTCTTACCAAAGAATTTCTGAAAGAGGGGTAGAGAGGTACTATGAATATTTTAATGAGTTAGTTCATGTATAGAAAGATTTCTACTTTTATTCATAACATGTTATTGAAAACATGACCAAATGCAATGTTTAATAGTCTAACAAATGTTTAAACAAGAACTCTATCCATGGAGGGTTTAAAAAATTTAAAGTCTCTGATGACACTTCATATTTTAGGTAACAATTATTATATAAATTCTATATAAAAGGTCACAGAAGTCTTTTAATTTTGTTTTCTTCAGAAATATGTGGTGCTGAGGATTAAACCCAAGCTCATTAAATCCATGCCTGACATCATACCCAATGAATGGATATTTATGTTGACTATGTATTCATAGGATCTCTGCATTAGAATAATATAACTGTAGATTTTTAAGCACGTTTTCAAAGAGTAGAGATGATACAATATTTAAATAACTGCACACTAATAAGGTGCAAAGAGAGTGACTTCACTAAAACTTCAAAATTAGACAAAAATCAAATTTAGCATATGAAAGATAGTTAAGGGACACTTATGACAAGGATACAAAAATGGAGTTGTTCAAAGGTTAACATAGATAAAGAATCAGATAACTGAGAATATTTTTCTTAAGCATTTCCTATCTTAGTCTGAGTTCTGAAAATAAAAACTTCTACTGGACAGCTATATCTTATTATTGCTTACAAATGGGATAATTACCTAAGCTGGTTAGGCTTTTTGTGTTCTGAAAGATGAGAGTAAATAAAAATAAAAAATCATTTTTAAATTCAACAATAAGAGTTTCAATGTGGGGAAAAAACCATTTTATTATAGTATGTTTCACTCAGTAAACAAATGAATTTCTTTCCATTTGTAGACAAAACTAAATGAAGAAATCCAAGAGACACTAAAATTTCAAGCTATATGTTTACTCAAACTGAAGTTATAGCATTACCAAGTCTCCCACTAACCAAGGAGCCAATGAGGCTGCTTCATATTTTATCTGGCTCAAGTTACTGGGGGCCTGGACTTCATATTCAGATGAGTTGGTAAAAAACCAATTCCAACTGAGTCACAGTTAAAATTTGACCAAAATATCAATACATGATTGTTTTGTACAAGAATTTATGGTATGGAAAGATCTGCTTTGACAGATATCTAAATTTATATTGCACTTAAATTATTTTTATATTTTCTAATTAATTTAGCTTTTTTTGATTTTTGCCATACCAAACAATTTTCAACATATCTGTTCATAGTCACTCAGAGAAAACTTTTGGCATTAAACAAAAAGTAACTATCTATACTTAGAAAAAAATAAATTCAAAATTTTGGAAAAAAGATTTAGTTAGAGGTTTAGGGAGACACAGGTTGAAATATTGTTAAAGAAGACATACATAAATAAAGAATTCAAAAAAAGGAAAAGTCATTTCTACAAAAAGAAAAAACTAATGAAAAAAAATTCATTAGTCAGATGTATCTAAATAAGATTATTATCTAATAGCCAATCCTTATCTTTATATTAACCCTTTTAAACAAAAATATATTGCAGGTGGAGGACACAGCTCAGTTGGTAAGAGTGATTGCCCTGCATGCACAAGGCCCTGGCTTCAATCCCCACCACCACAAAAAATATTCATATATGAAAATACATAGCTTGGTCAATTTTATTCCATAGTACCTCATCTTTTCTGCTCTTCCTCCCTTAGCTTCTCCTATTCTATCCTTCTTCCTTCTATTTTTATGAGATCCTTTCTTTATTCCTTTTTTCTCTTTAGTTTCCACATGAGAGAAAACATCACATTTTGAGTCTGGCCTATTTCATAGCATGATTTTCTGCAGTTCCATTCATTTGTTAGCAAATGACATTATTTCACTCTTCTTTATGGTCAAGTACAATTCAATGTGTATATACAACATATTTTCTTTATTGATTTATCTCTAATCAGATACCTATGCTGGTTTCAGACTTTGACTATTGTGAACTGCTCTGCTAAAAAAAAACAAAAAAACAAAAAAACTGCTATGCATTTATCACTAGCTGATTTTAGTTCTTTTGGATTAATACCAAGAGGGGAATAGCTGGGACACATGAGTCGTTTTATTTCTAGATTCTACATAGTGGTTGTACTAATTTGTAGACCCATCAATAATGTTTAAGTGTTGCTTTTCCCAACATCTTTGCCAAAATTTATTATTTACATTTTTAATGACTACAATCCCTACTAAGTCCATAAAGAAATAAGGAAAATTGTTCCATTCATAGTCACCTCAAAAAGACAAGACAAGACAAGACAATGAAACAAAGAAGACTGGGAATAAGTCTAACCATTAATAGAGGTGAAAGAAACTGAAGGCATTAGAAGAGGAAAACGCAGTCCGTGTTCTTGGAAAGAAAGAATTAATGTTGTTAAATGGCCATATTACCAAAAGCAATCTACAGATCCAAACTATCCACATCAAAATACCAATGACAACCTTCACAGAAATAGAAAAAAATAGTCCTAAAACTCATATGGAAGAATAAAAGATCTAGGAAAGCCAAAGTAATCCTGAAAAAGAGCAAGGCTGAAGCCATCATGGTACCCAATCTCAAATTATACTAGAGCTATAGTAATGAAAAACAGCATAGTATTGGTATAAAAACAGACATGAAGGCCAAAGGAATAGAAAAAACACAGAGACAAACCCACAAATCAACTCACCTTTGACAAAGATGCTAAAAATATATATTGAAGACAACTTTTTAAGTAAATTGTGTTCAGAAAACTGGATATCCATATATAGAAGAACAAAAGTAGATCCCTATGTATCACCCTGTATAAAAGTCAACTCAAAGTGAATCAAAAAATCCAGGAAGCAGACCAGAAACTTTGCAAATACTAGAAGAAAACACAGGGTCAATATTCAAAGTCGCATATAGAGACTTTCTTACTAAGACTCCTAGAGCTCAACAAATAAAACCAAGAATAAACAGGACAGCATCAAATTAAAAAGCTTCTGCACAACAAGAAAACAAGAGCCTGAAGAGAGAGCAGATAGCTGGGCACGGTGGTAAACGTTATAATCTCAACAGCTTGGGAGGCTGAGGCAGGAGGATCTCAAGTTAAAAGCCAGCCTCAGTAACAGCAAGGTGTTAATAAGCAAGTCAGTGAGACCCTGTCACTAAAAAAAATACAAAATAGGGTTAGGGATGTGGCTCAGTGGTTGATTGTCCCTGAGTTTAATCCCCAGAAAACCACCACCTGAGAAAATCTTGGCCAGCTAGTCTTCTGACAGAGGATTAATATTCAGACTATATAAAGAACACAAAACAAATTAACACACACACAAAAAACAAACAAAAGCTACACACACAAGTAAACCAATCAATAAATGGCAAATGAACTAAACAGACATTTGTCAGGAAGAAAAAAAATACAAGCAGCCAACAAATAGATTAAAAAAAAAATTGAACATCCTTATTAACCAGGGAAACGCAAATCAAAACTATACTGAAATTTCCATCTTACCTATCACAATACAGTGATTTTCAAACCAAGATATATTATTGAGAATGAGGATATAAGCTGCCACAGGATAATAATAATGTGCTCTCAGGGTTATCAATTTTTCACAAAGATGAATAACAAAAGAAACCAAATAACTGATAACAACCTTACATATCATTTTTATATTAAACCAAATGAAGATATAATGTGGGCCAAACACATTTAATTTTTAAGGTAAAATAACAGATCCCTGAGAAAATGTGTACATGCTGACAAACACCTGTGGCCATGCCTTCAATCGGACTGAATTTTAAAAGTATTAAGACTAAACCAGATTTTCTAAGATATGGAAAATTCTACTTTCTTTCTAAATCCTCTACCAGGATTTAGAAAGAAAGTAGCTTTTTTAAATTTCAATTTTTCTTAGTTATTTTTAAAAAACATGTATAGACACATAAATTCTAAATACATAAATAAAATCACAACCAATGCATTTTAATGAACGTATTTTGGGGAATGGGAGCAGGTACCAAGGATTGAACTCAGGGGCACTTAACCACTGAGCTAAATCCCCAATCCTATTTTGTATTTTATTTAGAGACAGGGTCTCACCAAGTTGCTTAGCGCCTCAATAAGTTGCTGAGGCTGGCTTTGAATTATCCTGCCTCAGCCTCCTGAGCCACTGGTATTACGGTGTGACCCACTGCACGGGGCTGAACACATTAACTTTCACATTAACTTTTAAACAATGTAGACTGACAGCTGGAGCTGGAGCTCAGTGGCAGCAGTTACCTGGCATGTGTGAGGCACTAGGTTCGATCCTCAGCACCACATAAAAAAATAAATTAAATAAAGGCATGCTGTCCATCTATAATTATAAAATAAAATTAATTTAAAAAGAAATAGATTGAAAAACAAATATATTGATGAATTCTACACATATTCTACTTACCTCTCTTGACACTTATTTTCATGTTTTATAACAAAATTACCTGCACATTGACTCTTTCAATCACACAAGAAAGGACATGCAAAACGTGCATCTTCGTGTCACATTCTGTAACTTGCTGCAATAACTGAAAAAGTAGGGTGAACATGGTCTCCAAATACTGCAGGTAAAAGGAAAAAAAGGTTGAGAAGTAAAATGTATAGACCTCTACATCTATATGGACGTAAATAAAAAACAAATCATATTGAAGTAATAAAAGATAAGCAGAAAGTCAAAACCTTAGTAACAAACAATTTTAAATTGTCCAAGCACCAATACATCTAAGACATTAATTTGTTATTTTATTATTACTAAATGTGTCCCTTTCATAATCTTAATCACCCACAAATTGAATGTTTAGAAAAAGACTGTCTATACTATGAATGTTTAAAATCTAATTCTATTAACTAAGCTATTAATAGTACCTTCTCACTCTTCTTCCACATTTCTATTACCAATCACAAAATGTTTTTATTTTGTAATATATATTTAAGCAAAAAGAACATGAATTATTGTACTCACGGCTAGCTATCTGATGTGATCTTTAACTTATGTGGCATGGAGATACAAAATTTGGGAGATAAATGCTTGTTATTCTATGAATGACAGACCATTTATTAAAAAATAAAAAACTCATATAACATGTGTCTGGCTTTGAACACCTACATTATAAAAGTTATGTTTGAAACTGACAAATCACAGGGACTTATATAAACCATTCGTTTACTCAGATATTTGGTTAAATTTTTTTTTAGTTGCAGATGGACACAATACCTTTATTTTATTATTTATTTATGTGGTGCTGAGGATTGAACCCAGTGCCCCACGGGTGCAAGGCAAGCACGCTATCCACTGAGCCACAACCCAAACCCCTGGTTAATTTTTTATGATTGTTATTGGTGAATGTTCATTTTTATATAAAATACTAAAACATTTCTTTTATTAAAAATATCTAATAATTATTTAAAAAACTCATTCCTCTACAAGTTTTCCAATCTATAACACAAAAAAAGATAAATAAACAACAGACATTTTATCATATAATTTTCTTCTCACCTAGTCTTCTTAAGAACAAACACTAACACTTCAATGTTACTAATATATTTAACAAATGCTTACTGAGAACCAACTATTTGAAAACACTATGTTAGGTGCTCAGGATTTAGTGAATAACAAAAAGATAAATATGATTTGGTATTCTTCTCTTCAAGTAATTTGCAATCTACTGTCAAGGTTCACCCATGTAAACCCAAATAATGGAGGGAAACAATATAAGGAGTAAAAGTAACAGATAGAGATGGGTGTGGTGCAGCACACCTATAATCTCAGCGATTTTGGAGGCTGAGGCAAGAGGCTGAGGCAGGATAGTAAGTTCAAAGCCAGTCTCAGCAACTTAGCAAGATCCTGTCTCTAAATAAAATATAAAAAAGGGACTGGAGATGTGCTTCAGTGTGTCCCTGGTACCCCCTCCCCCCAAAAAAGTAACACATAAATTAAAATATTAGATATTTTATAATTGTAAAAAAAGAAAAAGTTGGTGTTTAACTTCAAAATCAATGACAAATAGTTAAACAAAACTACACACAATAAAAGTAACCTGTTTCCAACAAGTTTATCAGAAAAGTTACCAAAAAAAGTGAGATCCTCCAAAATAATCCAATGTATTTTTAAATTCAGTTTTAATAAACAACTATTTATGCATGTATATACATAATTTCAGTTATAAAACAACACAATATTCAAAAAATATAAGTAGCAATTGTTATAAAATCTGGAAATGAATATTCTTACCGGTAGAAACTGATCTGTTCTAAATTCAAAATCATCAACAGGTAAATGAAGTTAAGGAACACAGAGAACTCATTGGAGGTTTATCAAGATAAGAATATATCTAAAACAAATATAAACCAATCAAAACAACATTTTAAATTAACTCAAATTAATTTAAAATATAATAATTCATAAGTGTTAACTAACTTCTTTGTAATAAAGTACTTTTAAATTTTTAAAAGGATATTTAACTTCAGAGTTGTGGCTGTTTCAATCCGGACCTAAAGAAAGTACATCATTACATTTAATCATTCTAGAACTACTAAACATCATTAATATATAATGAGAAAAATTATTTCAAATCATTTTCTCTACTTTGTATTTTGTTTTTTATTTTTAAAATTTTGTCCAGACTTTTTTTTTTAATATCAAAATCAGAGAATTAAATATAGAAATAAAGATAGTCCCCCTTAGCTGGACCAAGGGATAAAAAAAGATGATAATAAAACATTATATATTTCTACCTGAGTTTTCTAAATTTACTTAAGGAGACTTTAATTCAGGCTGGATGGATTCTTCCAGGAAGAAAAACAAAAAATTGCCAGAAGGTAGATGGAGAGTGTGGGACTTAGGAAGAACAGTGTGTAGTTGATGTCAGGGCAAAGGAAGGCTGAGAAGCAGGAATAACAGGAGTAGAGCAAGCACCAAGATATGCAAGTAAAGGGTGCAGGAGGAGATGAGGAGGAATAAAAGGGGAAGGAAACAGAACACAAACTCCCATTCTAACCTCAATTATAGCAAACCATTGAAATACAAAAGATATATTTTCTAAATCCCAAACTTCACAAGTATAGAAAGTTGTACAAGCTTCTGAACTCCCAAATAATGTGTTTTGCAAGTATAGTATGTCTTCTGAGCAAATCATATCATTACAACATGTTTCATTTTCAAAAATTCACTGTTTGGTAGTAGTCAACCTACCCAGGAAGATGGCCACTTTGTTACTTCTCAACAACCACCACCCACCCCAACTACAGACCTTTTGGTTACACTGCAATTTATATCTTATCTAGGTTCCCACAAGAGTGAAAGATCACATTAGAACTAAATTTTCAGTAGTTTACTGCTTATTTCACTGAAGGTTGCAGATAACCTAACTTAAAAACAAATATTACCTCAAATTACTGAGCTTCAAGACATAATTGGTTCAGAAACTTTAAAACCTAAAGAAGCCCAGTTATACACACCAAATATTCTGGTTACAGAATCATCTGTGGGAGCTAGGGGTGTAGCTCAGTAGTAGAGTGTTTGCCCAGCATGCACAAGGCCCTGGGTTTGATCCACACCACAATAAATAAACAAACAAATAAATAAAAATTGTGTATTCCTAAAAAAATTAAGTTCCTCTCACCTAAAATTTAGTAATTCTAATTTACTCTGTAGAAATTTAGTGTTCTCAAACCTGAAACTTCTCACAAGCACTGCACCTGCTATGCAATATGTCCTAAGTGTGAAGATGGAAGGGAGATTTGTTTTAAAATAGATATTTTGATCTGTGGTACAGAATATAAGTCAATAGTCTCAAATTATAGTATAAGGAGCTTGTAATAAGTTTTTAAAAGAGCCAGTTAATAAGTGTAAAGAGGGGCCCAATTAAAAGCAAGTGTACACATTATACCACTGCAAAAACAAACAAACAAACAAAAAAAAAACATGATTAACTGCCGGGCTCTATGGCACACGCCTATAATCTCAGCAGCTAAGGAGACTGAGGAAGGAGGATCATGAGTTCAAAGTCAGCCACATCAAAAGGGAGGCACTAAGCAGCTCAGTGAGATCCTGCCTCAAAATAAAATACAAAATAGGGCTGGGGATGCAGCTCAGTGGTTGAGTGCCCCTGAGTTCAATCCTCAGCACAAAAATAAATAAATAAATAAATAAATAAAAATAAAAAGATTATTAATAAATATCATTTGACTTTTTAAAAAACCATAAAAAATTTGTTAGTATTCAAGAATATAAGAATGCATTTCATAGCAAGTGTTACGAGTTACTATAAAAAAAGGTGTTGTAATTGAAACAATATTTAAATGAGAAGAGAAACTGGACCACTGGAATAGAACAAAGACCAAAAACAGACACACATTTGTGTCAATTTGGCATATGACTGGTAGGTCATCTTATGAATCACTGAGAAAATCATCGATTATTTGACAAGTTACTCCAGAAAAAAAAATGAAAATTTAATACTTACTTCACATTATATTCAAAAGCAGATTTTGAATATGACAAAGAAAAAAAAGAATTTCTTAAACAAGAAACAAGAAGTACAATAAAACATAATCTGACTGTAATCTATTAAAAGTAAAAATCTCTGCTCAACACAGAAGACAATAGGCAGAAACTAGAAAGATAGAGAAGGATTCAATTGCATTTTTGTAATGTTTTATTTCATAAATACATTTGACATACATATGTTAAAAATATAATGTTGGCCCTCATACAAAATTTATGGAAGGCTGCAGTAACTGGAGAAGTTGTTCCTATAATTGCAGCACTATTTCTGTTCCATCATAGCTGTGTCTCCTTGTAAGTATAAGAAATAGAAAATGCAGTTGCTCAGTATCAAATCTATATCAACTCTACAAGAGCACTTAAACAAGAAAATGCAGATATAGTTGTATATCCAGATATACATTTTGTATATCTGGATATACACATGTATAAATATATACACACTGTGTGTATGTTTACACACATGCACATACTATCATGTTTGCATGTATATACATATGTTTATATACATACTATTGTGTGTGTATATATGTATATCTAATATTTATGTATGTGTAAGGCAACTTCCCACATTTCTCTAGCTAGCACTTCTCACAGGTCTAAATTAAAGCAGTATAACCTCTATATTCTTGATCTTGGATAGGCACAATGCAAATATTCATTTTTTAAGGTTCTGACCAGTCCTTAATAAAGGGACCTATGTTAATATTTGGCCATAAAATCATTTCTCTCCATTAATATTTATTAATAACTGGTATAATTAACTTTCCACTTTTAAAATAATGATAAAAATAATTTACTTTTGTTTTCTTTTTTAATAGACTGATTATTATAAAGAGGGTATGACACAAGAAAGTTCTCTACTTCCCAAAGAAAGCTGAATTGAGATTTAATACTTTTATAACACACAAGTCATTTAAAGTCTTTTCTCGGATACTATTGACGGAAAAGAAAATGGTATTTCCAACTATGAAAACAAAAATTTAAATCTTGTGTTTTACTCTGAAGCTTTTGAAAAGTAAATTAATTTCAAGAAACCATAATTTTTTGGGGGGTACTGGGGATTAAACTCAGAGGCACTTAACCACTGAGACACATCCCCAGCCCTATTTTGTATTTTACTTAGAGACAGGGTCTCACTGAGCTGCACAACGCGTCAACATTGCTGAGGCTGGCTTTGAACTGCTGATCCTCCAGCCTCAGTCTCCTGAGCTGCTGGGATTACAGAGGTGTGCCTCCATACCTGGCTAGAAAACTATAATCTTTAAAGCAGTTAGGTAAAAAAAAAAAAAAAAAAAAAAATGGGTTCCCTGTAACCTCCCATATTTATACTATTTAATCACTACAGAATGATATTTAAAATAAATTCTCAATTATTTACACAAAGTAGATAACATGTAAGTTGAAAAATCCAAAGATCAGTTCTATTTGCCTTTCCATGTTGCTACAGCAAATTTATATTTCTTTCTTTTTTTTTTTTTGCTTGAAGATTTAAGAGTTTAATTTTTCCCTGGAGCAAGATCATCCATTTTCAACAGGATGAAAGAATACAGAACAATAAACTCAATAGCACCAAATATTTAACACAAAAAACAGGGTTCTCCTTTCAAATGCAAATTTTACATTAAAATATGTTTATAAACCATAGTTGTTTTCCTCTTGATTCAACCCTTCTCCCTCCAATAATAGGAGCCCCAGGAACCAAAAGAGCATATGCATTACTAATCAGATATACAATAGAACCATCCCCTTCAAATTGAAATCTGATTACTTATGGTCTAGACTCAGGGCTGCCCCAAAGGATGGGAAGCAATCAATAACTATGCTCTCAGGGAGAACGGATACTGCAGATGCCACCAATCAGAGTCAGATGCTGTGCACTGGATCCAGGATGACTTGCACACCCTGTTCACTGCGCAGGTTCCGACCACCATGGACAGGAGAATCTTGGAACACCAGTTTCACTTGATGATGCCGCATGTCTGTGCACACATTAATAGTAAACAGGGTAAATATCATTCCCATGACAATTGGAATAAAGATGAAATTGAGGGTGGTGACCTACAGTAAGCAGCAGTCCTGGTCTGGGTTAGTATGAACATCTTCATACTGAATGGGAGGCTGCAATCGTTCCATACATTTGCTCTTTAATCTAGGGGACTGTTTTTTGAACTTGAAGTTGAATTCCCACATTGGTTCCTGTCTGTTCCCAACAATCTTTCTGCACCAGAAAAGTAAGCATTTGGAATTCTTTAATGTGCTGGGAGTGCTTTCTGGAATGGCTGGATTCTTGGAGATTCGAGCAGCAAATGTTTCATACATATGGTACAGAGAATGGATCACACATGCCCGAAAATAGCGCAGCTTCTCCATTGACTCTGATCGCAGGCGCAAAGGCAGAGAAGCATCCAGCGTGTAGTGCTTTCGGTACAACCTGGTCCAAAAGGCAGCAGTGTAAGTGACAGTCCAGGCATTCTTACAAATCAAGGAAAAATTCACAATGTCCTCAGGACGGATGTAGGAGGCCAGCAATAACCAAATATCCATGGGATACTCTTCTCCTCCAGCCCTGTCCAAGTCCTCTTTGTGCCTCTTGCTTTTCTTTTTTCTGGAGACAATTCTCTCATGGATGTTTTCCTCCTGGGCATCCATCTCTTCACTGCTGTCGATGATGGCACAGGACTCACTAACCCCAGAAAGAGCTTCCTCTGAAGGAAGCTGAGAGGCTGCCAAACCACAGAGATTTTACTTCCTGCTGAAGAGTGTTGGTGACTGCTTTCTTGACCCATCCAGACTTCACGACTGCCTGCCGGATCAGAGTTGGCATAATCTGCCACAGCCACTGGTCCAGAATAGGCAACCTGAACAGGCGTCGTGGGCCCAGAACTTGAGTCGCTTTCCTCTCTTGGGCATGGCGACCGTGTCAGGGCTAGACCGACCTAGTGGGCTGGGACCCCGGGCCATGCCTCCGGCAGGAGAGCAGGTGCCCAGAGCCGCGGGCCAGCTCCACCTGGCTCCGCCGCCATCCCGCACCCAAGGCCCCAGCTGTCACGATCCAAATTTATATTTCTAATTGCAGTTTCTTCAGAATAAAGTGTAGCCTAAACCTTTGCTTGGGAAATCAGATGTGTTGAAAGTAAAAATAAGGGGGTGCGTGGAGGAAAAGCTGACACTGAGAAATGATGAGACAAGATCTTGGGGGTGGTGGGACTGATTTTACCCAAACTTCTTAAATAGTATACTGAAGACAAATCTAAACCCAAAACAAAAACGTATATATTAAGACACTAATATATTCAAACATACACTAGAGCACTAGCAGGAAAAAAAAGGGGGGGGGGAGACTGTTCTATACATTTTTAACTGTTTAAAGTCATAGGCCTGTTTAAGTAACTGACCTATATAGTAAAACAACAAACCTACTGTTTTGAATGAGGAAAAAAAAGCAATGAAGACACTATTATCAAGCTTCAATAATATGAGAAAATCATTTGAACACCATTAAAAAAAATTCCTAAAAGGAACATCAATTCCAAAGGCAAAAAACGGAACAAAGGAAAAACATAAATGAAGAGCAATCAATCAACAGTAAGGGTGGAACAGATTATGATACTGTATCAATGAAAAAGACTGTCCTGAATAAGAAAAAGAATAAATACTATAAAAAGGGATTTTAATGACTGTAATCCCTGCAAGTCAAGAGATAAGGCAGAATGAAGCCAACTTCAGCAACTTAATTAAACCCTGTCTCAAAATTTAAAAAAAAGACTACAGACGGGGGTCAGTGGTAAAACGCTCCTGGGTTCAATCTCTAATGTCAAAAACATAATAATAAACGGGTCTTTAAAAACTAACTGCCTCATTTTTTCTCTAAAATATTAAAAATGATTTCAGAGTAGTAGTTTGAATACATGTTTTTTCAGTGACTCAGTGGGAAAGGCAAAGAATAATCAAAAGTTTCCCTGCCCTCAAATCAAACTGCTAACCAAGGAATATCACACTATATAAATATGAACATTTTCTGACTTAAAGTTTAGCACAGGTTGAAATTTAAAAAACAATTATTTTAAGAATTTGAAGCAACATACCACTAAATCTTGATCTTGAAGCAAGTTACAGATTGCCTCATATAGCATGGGTCTTAAATCAGACTTAAATTTCACAGAAATCCACTGACCGATGAGCCAAATGACCCTGCGTCGCAATGGCTTATACCTAGATAGGTTAAAATCATGAAAGTAAAATGTTAAATATTTTATTAGATGTCACCATTTAAATCTAAAATGTAATAGTGAATGCATTCTACATTTACATAAAATCTTTAAAGCTACCTGAAAAAATTTGCCACAGTACAAAATACTACCAATACATTCCTTATGTAAGTAAATGAAAATTCTTAAAGCCCACATAACCCTAATTCTACTACATCAGAGTAGCAACATAGATCTGTACATTAAAAACAAAAATTTTTACTTCTGTTCCTCAAGTAACTAAAAATAGTGTTAACTCCTTAATGCTAAAGCTGCAGAGATCCCATAAAGTAATAATAAAGTAGTTCCTACATTAAATTTTCTTATTCTAGTTGTTGATTCCATATTATTTATAAAACATTATGAATGATCTCTAGGATTATATAAAATATGAGAAATAGAGAAGTCTGGTGGTCCATTTTCAGAATATAGTATTCAGCCTTAATTGAATCCAACTATAGCCATTTTTAATTATAGCCCTTCCTTTGTGCCCATCACAGTTTTAAAATTAGCCAATTGTATAGATTATACTTCCAAGTCCTCCAATCAGCACTGAATTTGTTAGGTGTGTAAACAGGCAGACTACCAGGCTGGGTATGCTTGCTAGCCAGATTCCAATAGCACACACTTCTGGCAGAAGTAAAAGTTTGCCTTGCCCACACACTTTTGGGCTCATGTTTGATTTCTTGCAGTACCTTGTTATTTCTAACATAAAATATACATATAAACTTACTGCTATCAGTTTACAGAATGTGACTCAGAGTATAAAAATAATCACTTATATTTTAAAAGTTTTATATATTCAGTACATATACGTACATTTATTTCTTTGATTATCTTTACTAAAGGAAATGAGGGTTACTAAGAAGAAAAATTGCAAAGCTCAAAATACTTGTGTCCAAAATTTCATTCTTGACACAATTCAAGATACAAGAACTATAAGAACAAAGACACAGAGGCAGAAATAACAATACTTGTGTAAAGTGAGGTGAAAGAATCATCAATTTTGGGACTGAAATCCTGGGCAATGCCATATTTGGCTCTGTTCAAACAAATACAATAACGCACAGAAAGGTCAAATTCCAAGGTCAAAGTCACTACCAGACTATTTTATCAGTTTGTCCTCAAAGTGTGTGCTTCCTAAAACAGCATCATCATCATTTTGGGAGTATGAGAAAACTAGAGTATCTGGTCCAGACCTTGTAACCAGAATCTACATTTTAACAAGATTTCCTACTGAGTGACTCATATATAAAATTTGAGAAACAACAGTCTTGACATCTGTTTAAGAGAAATACTGTACAAGTCATATAGGTAATTTTAAATTTTTTTAGTATAGACACTAAAGTAAGTCTAAAGAAACTGGTAAATTTTAATAATACTTATTTCAATATACTCAAATTATAATTTCAATATACAATCAATACATATTTTACACAGCTTCCATTTTTAAACTTCAATTAACTAAAATTGAATTCATTTTTTTCAGTTGTACTAAGCATATTTCAATTACTCAATAGCCACATGAGGGGAGCTACTATACTGGATAATGAAGGTCTTAAACTAAACAGCCTTTTGGGTTTAAGGAAAATTATATTTCATATCTGCCTCCTCAAAGGAGGTTTCCTCTCCTTCAGAGTTTCACTAGGCCCCTGAGGGCAGAATGAGAGGCTACTATAGTCAATGTTGGATCTACAGGACATAGCAAATTCTAATTGTTGAACATTTTTTCATTGAAGAAATGATTGGAAAAAAAATGAGAAGATGAACAGCTACTTACTGGTAGAAATTACTTTTAAGGCATCTTCAGTTTTATAATTCTGTAGCTCTAAATGTTCAAAAAATGATTCTCATGAGGGTGGCATTCTATTTAATCAGTATTTGGTGCACAAATACTTACTAACCTATGACTATAGGCTAACAGGCACCAGGTACACAGAAGGAACTTGATAGACCTATACCCTTCACACCAGGAACCAAAATCCTTCTGAAATATTTTTTATGGTCTCTAATTTTAAACTAGAAAATAATTTATAAAAACTATGAAAAACTGTTTCCTTCTATCCTACTCATTTAATATCTAAACTTGAAGTAACATAAAAGCCAACCCTTGCTCATATTCTAGGTATAGAATTCATAGTCTTATATTCTACTAGGCACTACCTGCTAAATAAAACCATGACCCTTTAAAATTATAAACAATTTCTTAAAAAATATTTTTAGTTATACATGGACACAATATCTGTATTTTGTCTATTCATTTTTATGTGGTGCTGAGGATCGAACCCAGTGCCTCACATGTGCGAGGCAAGTACTCTGCAACTAAGCCACAACCCCAGCCCAATTATAAGCAATTTTAACTACTTCCTGGCTTCATCAGAAAATCAGCAATGTAAAATAAACACAAAATATTATATTTACCTATTGTGAATGACTTGTAATTCTGGAAGAAGTTGGTTTTTAAACCACTGATCAAAATCAACACTATCAAATAGCTCATAAGCAGCTAATCCAACAGCATTATACACTGAAAAGAAAGTTAAACCAAAAAAATCAAGGATTTCAGATATTTGGCCTTATATAACAAATTAAACTTATTCTGAAAAATGTAATATATTAATATATTAATTAAGAAAAACCCACCATACGTTAACTGGGAGAGATTATCAAAGCAGACATTTTAGAGACATTAAGCTATTTTACTATTTTCCCCAAATACTCCTTAGTATTTTCAAATAGAAAGTTAAATTTGCGCTAATATTAAAGTCAATTTATAAACTTATAAAATAGCATCTGTTTCTAAACAGAGGCAATATTTCACAACTTGGTCCACGCTTATCTCTCTCCACCGCCCCCTTAACTTCTATGTTCAAGTTAAACCAAAACAGTAACAGTTCTAATTCTACCTATATTTTGCTCCTCTTATCATCAATCCTTTCTCCATACTGCTCAAATCTTCCTGGAATCCTTTTGCACACACCTCATGTACAACTACTAACTCCTACTTGTCCTTGAGTTATCACAGTATACTTCTTTAGGAATCTTTCCCTAGATATACCAAACCAGCTCGTGTTTATCCCCTACTTTAAATGTATATAACCATTCCATTAAGTGTTATATTTATTTTTGTCTGCTTATTTGGGTATCTCTCTCACCAGATAGTTCCTATATTTTGGTTACTCTTGTATCCCAACTTTCCCAGCACAAAGTTTACCACAAAACAGACCCTCCATCTATTGAATAATTAAATATTTCTAAACTAGTTAAGTTTAACATACCAGCATCTTTGATTAGCAATGCATTCATATCTTCCACATTGGTGGGCCCTAAAAAAATAAGTATCAGTAAAAATAAGCAAAACTCATTTTAAGAATTTAAATTATTTTAATTGATACAGTAAACAAAAAAATCATACATGTAAATGGGGTAACCTGTGATGTTTTGATACATGTATACACTGCATAATGTTTGAATCAGGTTAAAAGTTAAACATATTTGTCATCTAAAACATTGGTCATTTCTTTATGGTAAAAACATTTAAAATTCTTTCTTCTAGGTTTTGGAAATACACATTTTTGTTAAATATAATTATCCTACTATGCAGCAGCACACCAGAAGTTCTTATTCCTGTCTAACTCTAGCTTAGTATCCTATCCACTGATCAGTCTTTCTCCATCTTTTTCTATTCCCTATTCTTACCAGTCTCTAGTAACTACCTTTCTTCTCTCAACTGAGTCTACAAGATCAACATTTTTATAATTTACTTATGAATGAGATGATGCAGTACTGGTTTTTCTAATTTTTACTAGTTTTTTAAAAAAATTTTTTTTACCTTTTTTATTCTAAATTAACCATTTATAACTACATGAATTATGGAATACAAAATAATGTTATTCTCTATGAATACTTATGTGAAATAATTAAATAAAAATGCTAATATAGCCATCACTTCTAATACTTAACATTTTTTTGGTGAAAACATTTGAAATCTATTCAACAACTCTGAAGTGTATAATACTCTGGTAACTGTATTTTCACAGTGTGCCAGACAACTTTAAAAATGATATTGTACCATGTGACCACTATCTCCTCATTATCCTCATCCTTCAGTCTCTGTAATCACTATTCCATTCATTGCTTCTATGGCTTCTATCATATTAAGTTTCACATACAAGAAAGAAGACATGGTATTTGTGTTCCCATGCCTAAATCAATTTCACTTAGATAACATCTACAATTCTAATCATGTTGTAATAAATGAGTTTCCTTCCTGTTTAATATTTAATAGTATTCCACTGTGTATACATACCACATTTTCTTTATCTATTCACCTGCTGATAGACACTTCAGTGTTTATTCAATCCTAACTTAGTTTTTCAATTAAACTAAGTATAACATACTTGGTAATATTAAGCATATATACAAGGGGGAGGTCTAAATTTTATTGCCATTGCCCTCGTAGAACATGGGTACAAGATGTAAAGCTATAAACAACATTAAAAATCTTTTAAACACATTCAAAAAATGTATGACAATCAATATTCTAGAGAAACATATCCCACAAATTGTTAACTGTAATATCCTCATTATAAAAGAAAATTCTTTGAAAAAAAATAAAAAGATGAATTAGGACAATAAAACGTTGGCAGTCTTCGCTATTTATTTAAGAAGGATATCAGAAGTAGACATGGAAAACACAATTTCCTTAGTTAATAGATTTCTATAAAAGAGAAAAATTTCTACCAAGTTTCTCAAAGCACTCTTCCATTGTTAAATAGGAATTTTAAAACTTATTAGAATAAGCTAGAATAAGCAAGTTCTAAATAAGCAAACTGATGCAGAGCTAGAAGGAAAATTGAACTCAGAAATCCTTGAAAACCTTACCACCAGACAGCAAACCGACCAAATTTAACCTAAATAATCTATCACTTCCTTTGGTGGCCAAAAAAATAAAAAAGTAAATTCACATAATACTCTTCTTCTATAGAAGAACAGACACCAACAAAACCACATGCAAAATCATACAAAGCAACTTACGTAGTATACATATTAACAAATAATCTTTTATCCTGCACTAAGAAACTGGCAATTAGACAATGCAAATCAATTAATAGTAAAATAAAATAATGTCCAAATAATCTTTTAAAATTAACATAATTATATTAATAGCCTATATTTGCTTTGGCTTATAATTTAAACAGAAACACTAATCTATTAAGCTTTTTGAAGAACACAGCTTCTTATTACAAACAAGATCAGATATCACCATTCCTACAAGAAATTTTCTTTCTGTCATTCCTTTAAATCTCTACCTACTCAATGTGATTCCTGCCCCAACTAATCAATCTATTCTCTAGGGAGATTCCACTGCCTTCTGCCTCTTATATTCATAAAACAATCACTTCCTCCTACCCCTAGAGGTGAAAATCTCAGGTTCTGTCTTGAACCTCTTTTCTCTCCCAAGACTCCTTATATACATGTATACCAAAAGTATCTGTACCTCCAACCACTATTAATGAGATAAGTGCTTTGCCTGTCATTAAAACTCAAAAGTTCAGGAACATTTTTTATTATTTTCCCTTACCCAGCATATTCAATCAGTTGTGAAAAGTCAATCAATAAATAAACAGTTATTGACTATGCCAGGCATTGGGAATAAAGACTGAACAAAACAGCTGTGATCAATGTCCCCTGAGTCTGGCACAAAATTCACAAAATATAAATCAATGTTAGTTAATAGTTAAATAATTATTTGTGAACAATATGCAATAAACAAGTACCTAAAACTTACTCCACCATTCTCTTTTAAATCCATACATTCTTTCCTCTCCCACTGCCACCACCCTATTGAGGCCAACACACTATGTTAACCTTTATTCATTCCTTACCATAACATGCTCCAGAGAGACTATCTCCCCAAGGAATGTGATTGCCATTTTGCTCATGCTGTTACTATGTTTACGACAGCAAAATCTAATTATCATATCCAGACTATAATTCAAGTCCTATCTCAAATGTCCTCCTTTCAGGAAGGAATGCATTCAATCTTTTTCAAATTCATATCCATTATATAACCTAAGAAATAGCATGTTGCACATAGTAAGCAATTAACCATTTTTTACTGAACATTAATTAAATGAATAAATAAACATATATCTCAAAAAACACATTACCTTGAAGGGTTTGCATCATTTCTAAAAGTACAGGAGTAAGAGTCTGATTATATTCATGGAATATATCTATAAATAGTACTTCAGTGCAAGGCTGGAGGGAGAAGAAACAAATTTCCAATAAAAATGATGGCATATTATATTTATTTTATAATAAATCAAAGAACATATATTTTTAAAATCCAAAACTTTTAAAAACTCTGGATTTAAAAATAAAATAGTACTGGGTGTGGTGGCAGATGCCTATAATCCCAGTGGCATGGGAGGCTGACGCAGGAGGACTGCAATTTTAAAGCCAGCCTCAGCAACTACGTGAGGCTGTGAGCAACTCAGCAAGGCCCTGAGCAATTTGGCAAGGCCCTGTCTCAAAATAAAATAGTAAAAGGGCCTGGAGATTTGGCTCAGTGGTTAAGCACCCCTGGGTTCAATCCCTAGTAACAAAAATAAAATAATATGTATTTTTAACAAAAACAGTAACAAAAATTGTTGTTACCTATATTGAAAAAATGACTCATTGTGATTCGTAAAAGTGCTGAATTGCTAAATGGTTCAAAATAGAAAAGAACTATAAGTAAATGTCTAAAGTATTCTGCTTTATGTTTTAAAAAAAATCTTAGACATACAAAAAACATATGCTATGTCATCCCAGATATTTACTTCACACTAGTTTGGGGCAGGAATGCTTATTATGAAACTAGACTAGCCATATGTTAATAACAAACTAGGTTTTCAGGAAGGGTTCATAATTTTATTCTGTTTAACCTTGTCCATAAGAACAAGTTTTTAAAGCTCCAGTAATTTCTCTGGTTTACAATTATAAGCTTATAAGTCTAAAAATATTAAGATGTATTTTTAGAAAGCCAATGGCAGGTTATATGAATTATGTAAAAACAGGTCTTAACAAAAAGAATAGCTCAGTGATCACATCTGATAAATTTTCATAAAGGCAAAACATTTGCCATATCAATAATGTGCTCCAAAAGCATGACACTTGGTAATAAGAGAAATGAGATATCTAGCAAAAAGTAGCAGCATTCACTTCTACAAATATCTTACATTTGTTCAATGACAAATTATTTCCCAAGAAACTTTACTAAAAATTGAAAAACAGTTTGTAAACACCAAGTTAACAAAAAATATAAAATTCATAATTTAATCAAATACTTTTCTCTAAACAAACACTAAAAATTTACTAAAACTTTACTAAAAATTGAAAAACACAGTTTGTAAACACCAAGCTAACAAAAAATATAAAATTCATAATTTAATCAAATACTTTTCTCTAAACACAGTTTCTTGTAATTAGAAACAATTTCCTATCTGTCTGACTTACTGTTTAGAATTTAACAGTGTCGTTTTCTAAGAGCTTGAGGATTAAGCTTTACCCTATTAGTTTTTTTCAATTAATACTTACCCTCAAACTATATTTCCAAGAATCTCCTCCTGTTTCTTCCACTGCTGCAATTAAAAGGACGACAAGTAATGTTTTCCAGAAATGCAATGACAATGTTTACAAAATCCCATTTGGAAAAACAGAGATTTCAATAATAGCACAGTATTTCTGTGAATGGTTTTCAACATGGCACTAAATGCAAATCCTTGAAAACATAAACTTACAGAATTCTTTCCTATAAATCACAGATAACATCTGTATATTACACAACCTCCTATCCAAGTGCTTATTAAATCCATAAGCGTTCTTGCTTTCATTAAAAATTCCTTTTGGAGGAAAGCTCAATGTACCTATCATTTCCAGAGTATATGACATCATCTGATAATATATCATTATAGTCAAGATAATCATTGCAACACTGTAATCATATTTCTCAACTTAAAATGATTAGTCATTTTTCATAAATTTCCTACATGTATTTATATTTGGAGTAAAATACTTCAGGACTTTAAAAAAATCTAGAGGTTTCATTCCCTCCCACCTCTTCTCTTTTTTGGGGTGGTTGTGCTAGGAAATAAACACAGGGCCTTGCACACATCACGCAAGTGCTGTACCACTAAGCCACAACCCCAGGTAGGGTCTCAATTCCTCATGTTATACAATATATAAACTGCATAAAGAAAGCAAGAAACAGAAGATGCTAGTTAGAAAAAGGAGATGATGAAGAAAAAGAAGAAAAAAAGAAAAATGTATTGTGTAATATATGTTTAAAATGATTTTTAAATTAAAAAAAAGAAAAGGAAGGTATATATTCCAAAACAATTAAGGCATTCTTAAAATATTAGGAAGTCTATGGGATCCAGTTAAAGGGATAAGTAGAGATTAAAATCTAGCTCTTGTCTCACTAATGGACAAAGTAATTCACACAAAGGCATTTTATAATTACATGATTCCTTTCTTTTCTATAGCAATGGCATGATAGATTTGTTACTCACCTATCTATGTATCTAATGACTGATACATACTACTACTAAAATTCAAACAGATAGACAGGTCTCCTGTTAGGAAAAACAAGCATCAAAAATATTTCCAGTGTAGGATAAAAGCTCAGTGATACAGCATATGAGTAGCATTCATAAGCATTTACTGAAACTGTATTTACAATCCCCAGGAACCCTTCAAAAAAAAAAGATCTTCTAATGTCTTTCTGAAGTACAACTTTTCAAAAGTGAAAAAAAAATATGGAATGAATCACAAAATAGAAATTGACCTAACAGGGCAAGAAAGTAATTTTTAATTTTTGTTTTAAACCATGTATTTGTAAGGGTATCTAAAAACTTAAAAAGGTGTCTTCCTGAACAAAATTTTCCACTACAGTTAAATGAATCATTCATTTGGTGTCTCAAATTGTTCTAAAGGGTAAGAAAGACAACTAAAAAAAAAGATACCCAGATCAAAAGTACTATATAAAAATACTTTGTTATTATACCTATCATTCAAGATATTTGTTTATGAAATGGAGAGAAAAGCCACAATAATACAGAAAAAGTAATTCTTACTAAAGCCTTCTGGATCTTCTTCCCACATTGTCAATTCTTCTTCAGTTAATAAAAAATAATGAGAGACTAATCTTCTACATATCTCTGTCAAAGTAGGGTATGTGAAGAAGGCCATCTTAATCTTATGGGCTTCAAGAGTTTCAGGGCTGCTATCTAGAAAATTAAAATTTCCAAGTTAATTGTATAGCCAAACATTCTACTGAAGCTGGATTATATATATATTTTTATAAAAACATGCTTTGGGGGGTAAAGATAAACTTTGTGCATAAACGTTCATTTTTATTAGGAACAAATTTCAAAGAGGCTCTTTATTTATAATATATCTCATCAGTCCAGCCTTGTTCACATAGCTTATGCATTGTTATGCTATATTATTGCAGCATATTGAAGTGACCAACTGATATGTATGTTTGTCTCTCTCCCTTCCATTTACAAACCTTCCTCATTCATCTTGGAACACATGCACATGAAGAAATTTCAAATAACATACAATTTAACCTGTCTATAAACAACCCTACTTTGTATAAAGTCAGAGAAAACTTTAATTGTTCAAATGAATACAGCCTACGACATGAGCTTCAGAGGTTATTATAGTATATAATTCTTAAAGTCCTTAAGCTTGAACTGATCTTCTAAGGTGTTACAAAAGAGAATTTGATAAATGTACAGTGTTTTTTTTTTAAAGCTGATATTCACATATTAAATACTGTAATGCTTTCTATTTCACATCCTAGGAAGAGTTTATTTTCCAGACTAAAATAAATGAGTTTCAAGAAAAATCTATATCAAAATAGCTATTACTTCACACTAAGATTAAAATTTAAAAAAGTAAGACCAGGAAAAAAAAAAATAAAAACCTACCAGTAATGCATTACCTTCAAAATTTTTGGATGGCTTATAAGCATAATTTTTGACAATCATCTTAATAAGATTCATGCACTGGACAATGAATCTTTCAAATGTAACGCCTTCACCCACTTCAGTAAAAACATAGCTTACAGAAAATTCCAGTGATCTCTGAATTAGAGGAGTAAATGAAAATGGATGCTGATCCAAGAAATCTAAAAGCTGTGAAGAAAAAAATTAAATGCATTTTTCCCAAATTCGTATTGGAATATAATCATTTCAGTTATAAGTTTACTAATTAAAATTTAGCAAGTTTTGAACCTTGGTAAGAGTCTACATATATTCAGTTTTACATGTACTATAACCCTTCTTGAAGTACATAATATAACATGGATTTTGCCACATTATATCTCATAATAAGACTTTTCTATTATTTCCATTACAGGGACCAAAAAAGTCCTGCTTCATACTAATTTGATAACAATGGGTAAAAGTGATACAAATCATTTTGTATATAAAAGGTAGGCTTTTTTAAAAAAGGAATAAAGGGAAAGAATTAAAAAATAATCCTGCCTTTCTGTATGAACTGTATTTCAATGGACCAAATAGTTCTGATGAGAGAGATTTCTTCTTTATAGAAAAATTCCAGCTAATAAATGCAAAAAGGAATAATAGAATGCCATCATTTTATAATCCCAATCAAATCATGGTACTAGGCATTGCTCATCCATGGTTGCTAAAATCTAGAGGGGAAAGGGTGCTGAGAAACTCAGATAGCTCACTCATCAATCTGCGCCTTCTAATAGAGATAATCAGATATTGTGTGCCTTTTGATGGGCTGCAATATGAATACAACATTGCCTACAAAGTATTCTTGTCAGCATCCCCTACCAAAAGAAAATAAAAATACCCTGAATGTGACCAAGCTTCTAGATGTAACTACAAATTCATGAGAAATATAGAGGGATAAGAAGAGTGTGGAGACAAAGGAATATCTTAAATAACACATAGGGATGCAAGCAAATTCAAAACATGGTGAACACTACAGGAATATTACTTCAACAAATAAAGAACAAGGAAAAAGAAGAACAGAAAGGTAACAGATACTATCCCCAAGTCAAATAAACCAATTATAAAAAGTTTATACAAAGAGAAATCTGAAAACAAAATAGATATTTAAATAAAATCAATTAGTACTTTTTAATGTGACAACTGTGTTTAAGAATGCTTTAGGAGGGGTTGGGGCTGTAGCTTAGTGATAGAGCCCTTGCCTCTCACGGGGAGGTTCAATCCTCAGCACCACATACAACATAAATTTACAAAACAAAGATATTGTGTGTCCATCTACAACTAAAAAAATTTTTGAAAAATGAATGACACAGTGCTGCATCTCCAAACAGGCTGCCCAATGCCATCACATGGCCTGCCCTATCAGCCCCATCTCTGAAAGCAGTAGTCTTCCTCTTGGGACAACTCCGCAGTCATCCTGGTTTACCTTCGATGCCAACATCACCAACTTTGGTTGGAGCAGCTTCCACCTTAGGACACTGGGTAGTGCCTGGAAGCCTAACATCAAGGTACCTACAGGTTTGACACTGCCATCGCCACAAACTAGGGAGGAGCCCGCCTCCATCAAGAGACAACAACCAGCACCTGGAAGACCATCACCAAGGTCCCTACAGGCTTGGTTACACCAGAGATATCCCTGCTAGCCTACTTCTCTTGATTCCTATTTCACTCCTCCTGCGATCTAATATCTCTCTATTCCCACCTCCTATCTCATAAACCCCACATTCAACACCTCACCCCGGCTCTTTCTTTGTCCATCATTAGAAACTGTAGAACCTTATGCAAATCTACTATTTATATTGTATTTACTAACTGAAGACATCATTTCTGTTTATTGGGACAGAACTATAATTGTCTAAAATATGAGCTGCATATTATCTGCATTGGGTGCTATAAATATTGATCTTCCCCCTTAAAAGCAAGGTACTGGTAACCTGCAGGAAAACTACAAGATTATAGGGTAGAAACTGTAATACCTCAGATCTGCACTGCTAGAGAAAGACACATGAACAACATTAAAAAAAAAAAAAAAGAGAGAGAAGAAAGTGCTCCAAACAAAGATACTACACTAATAGACTGCATTGACAGCAAAGTAGATGAAATGTCAGAGGAGTTCAGAATGTAAGTACATAATTAAAATGAAATGCAAAGCAAAGAATGATATAAGAGGGCAAATACAGGCAACCATTGATCACTCCAACAAAGAGATAAGAAAGCAAATAGATGTAGCAAAAGATTACCTCAAGAAAGAGAGATTCTTAAAAAAAGAAATCTATGAAATGAAGGAAACAATAACCCAAACAAAAAAAAAAAATCAATAGAAAGCATCATCAATAGACTAAATCACTTGGAAAACAGAATCTCAGGCAATGAACACAAAATATATAATCCTGAAAATAAAAGTTGACCGCACAGTGAAAATAGTAAGAAACCATGAACAGAACCTCCAAGATTATGGGATAACATGAAAGACCAAATCTAAGATTAGCAAAGTAAAGGAAGGCTCAGAGATACAAACCAAAGGGATACGCAATCTCTTCACTGAAATAATATCAGAAAATTTCCCAAACATGAAGAATGAATTGGACGGGCTGGAGTTGTAGCTCTGTGGCAGAGTGCTTGCCTAGCACATGTGAGACACTAGGTTCAAATCTCAGCACCACATGTAAGTAAATAAAAGAAAGGTTCATTGAAAACTTAAAACAAAAGAATAAATTGGAAAATACAAGAGGCCTACAGGACACCAAATATACAAAATTACAACAGATCCACACCAAGGCATATTATAATGAAAATGCCTAGCATATAAAATAAGGACAGAATTTTAAAAGCCACAAGAGAAAAGTTTCAGATTACATTTAGGAGGAAAACAATTCGGATCTCAACGGGTTTTTCAACCCAGACCCTCAAAACTACAAGATAGCTGGAACAACATATACCAAGCTCTGAAAGAAAATGGATGCCAACCAAGAATCTTATATCCAGCAAAATTAAGCTTCAGATTCGATGATGAAATAAATATCTTCAATAATAAAGAAAAGTTAAAAAAATTTACAGTGAGAGAGCCTGCACTATAGAATCAGCAAACTATTCATGAGGAAGAAATGAAAAACAACAATGAAAATCAGTAAAGGGAGGAACTACACTAAAGGAAAGCCAATCAAAGGAGAAACCAAGAGTCAAGTTAAAAACCAAAATAAATCAAAATGACTGGGAATACAAACTATATTTCATAATAGATAATATATATGTTTAAGTAAAGAATATATAGGCATATGTATTATTTATATATATGTCAAAACATTATATACACACACACACAAACACACACAATGTATCAAAACGTACAATTAGATTTAGGGATTAGATGAAATTACAATAGCTTTGAAGTCTTTGTAAAATCTTTTAAATTAAGCACCTAGAGTTATAATTGTGAATTTGGGCTGCAGTCACAGGGATTAAGAATTGCTTATTAATATCAGGAATAGAGTTAGCATTATGGTAGTAATTTCTATACAAATGAATATGAACATATATAAATAAATATATATCTCATATACAGAAATATTTGTGAAAAGTGTTATTATTTGTATAACAATATTTATGAATTTATATTCCATAATATATAGGTAGATTCATGTAAATTGTTATGGTTTATACATACAGAGGTTCTGGTGAGGCATACTGGTAGATATATAGGAAGAGGTGTAGAAAAATAGTTAGCATTAGTTTAGGTTTTAAACATTATTATCCAAATATATGAATACAATATAAATATACATATATAAAAATATAAATAAAAATATTTAAATGTATAGGGATTTGTATATAGTTAATTTTTTTTGAGATAGAGGTTTACATTGTTATTAGATATATTTTAAGAATATATAACTGAACATATATAAAATTTATGGGCAGGATTTTGTTTAGCATTAGGGCACATACCTACGTATGTTTATAAACATATAAAGAAATATGTATGTAAAAATATATATGAGGGGGCTGGAGTTGTGGCTCAGTGGTACTGCGCTTGTCTAGCATGTGTGAAGCCCTGGGTTCAATCCTCAGCACCACATATAAATAAATAAATTAAATAGAAGATCCATTTACAACTAAAAATATTTAAAATAGATATATATGGATATTCAAAGTAATAATTACAATTTTTGTTTAGAAGACTGATGGTTATGGGTAGGGTTAGGTTTAGTTCTGAGGTAGAGACTAGGTTGAAGTTGTGAAGGTTACCATTAGAATACATATATCTATATACGTACATAAATATGAATACAGAATTAAACATTTACATGAAAGTTTATAAATATAACTTTTATCTATGTCAATTTTAAAGTTATGCAGTATTTTTGTTTGTAATAATCTGGGGTTTGCCTATGGAAATGAATATATATAAAATATCTATGAAAAAAATGAAAGGTCAAAATCTTTTTAAGAAAAAAAAAAAAAAACACACTTTGAAAAAGCCAAGTGCAGTGGCACACACCTGTAATCCCAGCAGCTCAGGAGGCTGAAGTAGGAGAATCATGAGTTCAAAGCCAGCCTCAGCAAGAGCAGGGAAATAAGCAATTCAATGAGACCCTGTCTCTAAATAAAATACAAAACAGGGCTGGGGATGTTGTTCAGTGGTTGAGTGGCCCTAAGTTCAATCCCTGGTACCAATAAAATACTTACAGATAATACTATAGATCTAGGATTTGCTTTGGAATAATCAGCAAGAGTGGGGAGAGAAAGGAAGCACACAAATAAAATAGGATTTACCATGACTATATGTTGATAATTGTTGAAACTGGATTATGAACAAATGGAAACTTATTCAATTCTATTGAAGGCATATATGATGTTTCCCAATTTAAAGGTTTTCATTAAAGTCTTAGAGATCATAAATATAGATTTTGTAAATAAAATTATTGCTGTGAACTTATTCTAAAAAGTAAAATAAATTACAAATACCATCTATCTACATCATTACCTAAAGTAAGAACTAAAAGAAAGAACTACAGCGGGGCATGGTGGCACATGCCTGCAATGCCAGCAACTCAGGAGGCTGAAGCAGGAAGATTGTAAATTCAAAGCCATCCTCAGAAACTTAGTGAGGCCCTAAACAACTCAGCCATACCCTGTCTCAAAATAAAAAATAAATAAATAAAATAGGCTGGGGATATGGTTCAGTGATTAAGTACTCTAGGGTGCAATTCATGGTCTCAAAACATAAATATAAAAAGTAAAAGCAAGAACTACAAAAACCAGTAGGTCAATAACAAATGTGTTTCTAATACAGACTATCTAAACAATGTTTTTAAAATTTTACTTATATAATTGATATACTGAGCAGGAACTGCAGAGATGCTGGCAAGTGTCAGAGATATACACTGCCCAGCCCCACTGACTAACTTAACTTCATCATCCTGTTTTACTTTGCTTAGTGTTAAAGGATTGGAGGCAACTTTATACTGGATCCCAGAAGGTCAAGTTTTACTGTTGAGGCTATCTGGAACATAAGAAATGAAGACAACTAAAACTAAAGGTGACTACCACCTAAACACATACATATAAACACAGTGTCTGTCTGTCTTGTCTCTCTCTCTGTCTCTCTCTCTCTCTCTCTCTCTCACACACACACACATACACACACACCCTTTCTTTCTCTCCCCTCCCCTCCAGATTACTCCTGTTCCTTTTATCCCCAAGAGAAACAGACAATTCTAACCCTAATACTGAACCTTCATTTAAAAAGGGAAAATAGCCAGGTGTGGTGGTGCTTGCCTATAACCCCAGTGACTCGGGAGGCTGAGAGTAGGATAGCAGGTTCATGGCGAACCTCAGCAATTTAGCAACACCCTGCCTCAAAATATAAAATATTAAAGGGCTAGAGATGTGGATCAGGGTTAAGCGTCCCAGAGTTTAATTCAGGGTACTCCTCCCCCAAAAAAAGAAAAGAAAGAAATAGAGGAAGGGAGGGAGTGAGGAAGGAGGGAGGGGGAGGAGGAGGAGAGAAGAGAGAAAATAGATTATAGGCTTAGATATTCCCACCTCTCTCCAAGTATCTATTTTAGTGCAAGTACTCCTCAAACTAGATCTCACTAATTTCTTTAACCCAACTCTGCACTTTTCCCAATTCTCCAAGCCCAAATTTCTTACGAGTTAATGTTATATAACTCTCAACATTATCAGAAACGTATATACACACTGTCAAGTACAGTGAACCCATAAAATTCCATTTAAAACATATGTAATCAATGTATATAGCAAGCTCAATTCACAATAGCTAAGCTATGGCATCAACCCAGATGCCCTTCAAGAGATGAATAAAGAAAATGTTGTATATATACACAATCAAATATTACTCAGCCATAAAGAAGAATGAAATCATGGCATTTGCCAGTAAATGGATGGAACTAGAGACTACTGTGCTTTGTGAAATAAGCCAATCCCACAAAACCAAGTCCTAATGTTCTCCATGATATGCAGATGCTAACACACAATAAGGAAGTTCAGTGGTTTAGATAAAGGGGAATGAAGGGAAGGGAGAAGGAATGGGAATAGGAAAGACAGAATGAATCAAACGTAACTTTTTGTGTTCATATATAAATATACAACCAGTGTAACTCCACATCATGTGCAACCACAAGAATGACATCCTAATTAGAATAAGTTATACTCCATGTATGTATAATATGTAAGAATACACTCTGTCATATATATGTAAAAAGAGCAAATTGAAAAAAATTAAAATTAAAAACAAAACATGATATTGATGATATTTGACAATCATTCTGAATATGCTCACTTCCTGATATTACTCTACCTGCTGCATTTATCTATTTCAGGCTGAACTGCCATCTTCTTAATCTCAGCTCTTTCCAGTGGGTCTAGGAATAAGGTTTTGAGGAATCAACTTCTCTAACACTTGTTAGGATTGTGAAGGTTTGTGTTTTATAAATTTAACTATTATATGCATTCAAAAAGTTACATTATACAAAGGTGATTTTAGCTTTCCTACAAAGAGTAAGAATATGAGTTTCCTTACATTCAAGTGAAAATTTATGATTACGAAAACATTTTCCTTCTTAAATTTGAGAAGATATATTAATTTCAGAAAATGTACTCAAGATAAAAAGAAAACTTACCACTTTAGTAAAAAGAATGATGGTCTTCTCCAGCCTATCTCTACACACATTATCTGTACCTATATTTCTACCTGTTAAAAATACATTTCAAAAATTAATACAAGTTGATAATATCCTACAAATTCACAAACAAAATACCAAAACTTTTACAAAAATATTGCCTGTTACATTCTTGTATATTTTGCGTTATTAACTTATTATTCAAAAACCAATAGCAAGTAAAATTTCATTTAATAAAATAAGCATCTGAGCCAAATTATACAAAATTAACCCTAAAAGAGAAACTGAATCCATTTTAAAGTAAAAAGGTGACAATTTTAGCAACAAATCATAAATCACATTTTCAAAAACTGTTTTAGTTCTAACTGAAGTACTTTTCAGTCAACAAAAAACACTCAGTAATATATTCACTATCACTTTTCCTATCAGTTCTGAAGTACCCTTGTGAAAATTTTCCTTCCCTTATTTTGCACATCAGAATAATGTCCATCAGCCCATCAACTCCTCATAATCTGTTTTGTCAATTATCTCATTCTACTATTCTAAAAGGACTTCGGTTCTTCCTTCTGCTAACCCCAAGTTTATAACCAGAGAAAAATGACAGCCCCATTTTGGTTTAAATTAAAAACACAATATGAGGGCTGGGATTGTGGCTCAGTGATAGAGCGCTCGCCTAGCATGGGCGGGACCCAGGTTCAATCCTCAGCACCACATAAAAATAAAGGCACTATGTTGTGTCTATCTACACCTAAAAAAATAAATATTAAAAAAAATACACAATATGAGCTATCTTATTCACCTTTGCATGCATAGTACCCAAGAGCATGCCTGGCAACAGGGTCAATAATTTAAACTAGGTTTAAAATGACTAACATATAATAATCAATAATCACTAAAAGTACAGACTAATATACCTTCTCAAGGTAGGAAATGCCCAAATGAATATGAACACACAGTATATGCACACACACTCATCTGATTGAAGGTGTGTGTCCTGAACAAAGGTATTTACAATCACATAGAAGGTAAGAAGATAAGAGACCACCAGTAAAATAAATGCAAATATAAATGCTATATTCTCTGTGTAGGGCAGATCACATCCTTAATGTGATCCAGCTGGGGATAATGATTATGAGGTTTGCAAAATGAAAGTATCATTTAGCAAAATTTATATCATAGTGATACAGAAAACATACTAAAAGACTCAATAAAAAAGCCTAAAAACCATTTGGCACATAGTATATAACTTACTATCTATTCAACATTATGACTGCTATGGATGTATGCCTGGAAAAGGGGGGTTGTAGTAGAAATTAGAAGAAAAAATGGACACAAAATAGATTCTTTTAAATAAAGGTTTCCTCTATACTCAGAATAAGAAAGGTAGATGGAGACAAACCCAAGCTTTCAATCTACCTTCAAAAAGCTAATTATCAAGGTATAAGAAGCATATTTTAGCCACATACACTATCTATCCAGCTACTAAGAATTCACTCAGATTGTCCAACAAATGAGTTGCTCAGACAAAAACTTTCTCCAGACTTGCATATGGGAAGAGAAGCTCTGAATGGATAGGGACCCACTCTTTAACTCCTATTAATTCTTCACCAACCCTAGTCATTAATGAATAATGAATAAGCTGTAACAAATAAGGATTCAACAGTAAAAACTACTATGATGGAAGTACTTACTGCATTCCAGAAACTGTTTTAGACGTTCAAATATCCCATGTAAAAAACCCTAAAAAAGAATACATTTTAAAGTGTCTTGATTTATTCTATTATAACATTTACCTTGTACTTTTTTTCAGGGATACTATGACATATCTATACATCATTTTAAAAAATCAACTGAAGGGGCTGGGGTTGTGGCTCAGTGGCACAGCGCTCGCCTAGCATGTACGAAGCACTGGGTTTGATCCTCAGCTCCACATAAAAATAAATAAATAAAATAAAGGTATTGTGTCCATCTACAACTAAAAAGAAATATTAAAAAAATCAACTGAAGAAAAATAGGTTAAAATTAAACTAAGTAAGGGCTGTGCTGTAGCTCAGTCATAGAGCACTTGCCTAACATGTGTGAGGCACTGAGTTTGATCTCAAACATCACATAAAAAAAAGTAAAAATAAACAAAATAAAATAAAGTGTCCATCTATAACTAAGACATATATTTATATAAAGTAAAAAACAAATCATTATAAACAAGTCTTCCACAAGAAAGTAACTGTAGTACTCTGCTTATTCAGTAACTCATCAGTTAACACAAATCACTTACAATAATTCAAATCTACTCATAAAAGCATCCTGTTTCACTAAACACCCTCTATTCTCCTTACTCTGCGTAATATTTCTTCACAGGCCTTACCACTCCTTTGATATACTGTTTGTCTATTTATTATCTGGCTCCTCTAAATAGAATGCAAGCTCCTGAAGGCCAGAATTTTGCTTTGTTTACTGATCTATCCTTGAATACAGGGACAAGACTTGACAGTAATACTCAATAAATGAATAAAGATATCAGTTATTTGAACCACATGTACGTAAGTGTCAAGTATTAGTCTTAGACACTTCATACACCTTCAGATACCAGAAAAGTATTACCAGTTACCCACCTGGGAACTGAACCCAGGAGCATCCCCACCCCTTTTTATTTTTTTAAATATTTATTTCTTAGTGTAGATGGACACAACACAATGCCTTTATTTTTATGTGGTGCAGAGGATCGAACCCAGATCCCATCCATGCTAGGTGAGCGCTCTACCACTGAGCCACAATCACAGCACCCCCCTTTTAATTTTTCATTCATTAAAAAAATTTTTAAATGATTTTAGTTGTTGATGGACCTTTATTTTATTCATATGTTTATATGTGGTGCTGAGAATCGAACCCAGTGCTTCACACATGCAAGGCAAGTGCTCCACCACTGAGCCACAACCCCAGCCCCAGCCCTTTTTATTTTCAGACAGGGTCATGCTAAGTGGCTTAGGGCCTCTCTAAATTGCTGAGGTTAGCCTCAAACTTGTGATTCTCCTGCCTCAATCTCTGGAGTTGCTGGAATTACAGGCATGCCATACCACATCCAGACCCCCCCTTTTTTTTAAATCTTTATCTTGTTTATTTATTTATTTTTATGTGATCCTGCTAATCAAACCCTGTGCCTCACATGTTCGAGACATGTGCCTTGCCACTGAGCTACAACCCCAGTCCCCAGGCCTTTATCTTTAATACACACTTTAAGATATTTTTATGAATAATTTGCAGAAATAACTATACAGTTATAGTAGAAAAATAAACATTGTAATAAGTTTTCTTTGTATCATTAAATTTGGGTGTGTAAACATCATAAAAGATGTCAATGTCATGTGCTTTTAGCAAAAGGGAAGATCTAGGTTTGTCACAAAAACAATGTTTAACTCGATAATGCCATATTATCTTTGTCTACAGAAATATACTACCAATTCATCAATTGCTGAATTTGAAAAAATTCAATTAGGATATCATCAAGATTTATAGGCTGAGATTTTACTTAGACAATCAATGTCACCATCATCATTAGAATTTAAAGTGCTGCTCTCAGTCTCAGCATCTATTACATGATTAATCTAAAAAATTGGGAACAATTTCTCAAATATCATCTTTCCTCTCTTTACCATTTCAGACAGGAAAGTCTAAATTCTGAACTGTGTTAAATAAAAGCTAAAAAGAGTAAAATGACTGCATTTCTAGGTTTTTTAAAAATACTTTCTTGAAACCTGATGCAGCACAATGGTCAACACAGTAAAACCAATTGTAGGGCAATTAACTTCACCACTGCCATCTTCCTATTGGCAATTCTGTCATTCTTCTATTTTCATATTATTTCTTCTATTTAAGCACAGTTGGGAATAACTGACAAATAATGAACAATAGATGCATAGAATAAGGCAACAGCAAAAGGTTTCGATATAGATGAAATATGATCACTATGATCCTATATGTATTTTAACTTTATAAAAGGACTAATGGTACCACACATTAACTACAAAATGGAAAGAATTTTTTTAAAAATAAAATTATCAGTCAGCATTCTCCAAAGATAGCAGAAAATTATAAAGGTCATACATGGCTAATCAAGAGAATCAGAAATGTACAGAATTGAGCTGGGAGTATAGCTCATTAGTAAGGCACTTGCCTATCATGCACTGAGGCCCTGGGTTTGATCCCCAGAACTGCAAAAAAAAAAAAAAAAAAAAAAGGAAGAAAAGAAAAAGAAGCATACAGAATTACAGGCAGCTGACTAATCCATAGTCCAAATAAGCCAATTCAACTAATGTTATGTAATAATAGAACAAAAACTCAAATTAAAATAACAATAAAATTGTAATTAATTATTTTCCAACCTTATTACAAAATCATTATCTACCTTAATTCTCACAACATCCAATGAGGTAGGTGCTATTAATTCATCTCCATATTACAAAAAAAGAATGAGTATCAGTGAGGATAAGTAAATACCCAAGACCAGACTCTCAGAAAAAGGCTTAGATTCAAACTGAAAAATGGCCCTTTCTCGTAAGCCTAGAATCTCACCACTATCATATTTGCTTCTGGCATCTTTTAAGTTTTATGCTATTTTTATATTATTTGAAAAGCAGTCCCAAATTTGTTCAAATTTAATCCTTTTTCAATTGGATTATGTCCCTTAAATGCTACAATAAGGGACATATAACTGAGAAAAGTCTTATATATAGTATCTGGAGACAGAAGAAGACAGAGAAGACATAAGCTCACAAAATACTAATTATATTCAATGAAAACCACTATTCCACTTTATAGGAATATAATCCAAATCAATTTGTTTTCACAGAAAACAATGACAAATTTTGTCAATACTTTAGTTAATTCTGATACTCAAGAGTCCTATTACATATAATTACTGAGCTTTCTGATCCATTGATTCTAATTTATTATATATATGCATTCATTCAACAAGTAACTACTGAGTACTTCTTCTACAGCTGAAGCTCTGGGGTGAACAGTGAATAAAACAAAGTCCTGGGTCGGCAATATAGCTCAGTTGGCAGAGTACTTGCCCTGTATGCACAAGGCCCTGGGTTCAATCCCAAGCACCACAACTACAACCACAAAAAAATAAATAAATAAAATAAAAAAGAAATAAATCCTTGCCTTCACTGAACTTATATTCTAATTAGGGAATTGAGAGAGTAATGTTTAGTTGGTTTCCAGAAAATTTTCTTTTGATATTATGGCAACTAAAACGTATCACTGTCTAAAACTGAGATTTTTTTTTTTTTTTGCTGTATCTTCCAGCAAAGTGATTATAAATATCAGTATTATAGATCTGCATAACATTTCCATTTTCAGGAAAATATCCTAAAGATATAATTTGAAAAGTACCCTACACAGGTACCTAAATGTTCATTCCAATATCTCTTATCAATCAATAATTAAAAATTGAAACAACCAGTAAATCTATCAATAAATAATTATCAACATAAATTAGAGAAATCCTGTATTAATTTATCTTTTAAAAAAATTAGTTGAGTGATAAACATATGGACAAACCATATTACCATTTAAAAACATGACACAGAACAATAACTAACCTGGGGAAATGATCCATAATATATTGAGTTTGTTAAAAAAAATTTCTTAAAAAGGAGATAAGGAAGCAGCATGTAAATATGGTCCCATTTATATAATACTGAGGAAGAGAAAAAGTACACCTGAAAGTATAGACATAAGATGCCTCAAAGAATGTTTCTAAAGTTTAACAAAACCTCTGGATAACAAAATTGAAAAATTTGTATCTCATGTTACTTTTTTATTCCTTTTTTAAACAAAAACCAAAAAAGCATGTTAACTTTTATAAAACAAGCTAAGTATCACATGACAATATGGATTTTAAACTCTCTTAAGAACAAAGCCATGCTTCAACCAAAATCTTACTAATAAATTGAATCCATTAAATATTAAAAACAAAAAACTGTGGCTCTGGTCAAATATCTGTTAGGGAGGTCAAAGGACCCAAAGGGATGCATTTTTTCGCCTCACGTCTCATGCAGTACCCAAGGCGATCCACAGAAAGCAACATTTTAGCTGAGGTAAACTCACTCATAAAACTAACAGAAATCTGAATGAATATAAATGCCATTTCATTTAGGCGGAAAATGTAGCTATGCATTTTTGTAAAGAAAAAAGTAGATAGATATATACCAACAATGAACATATATCACAACTTGTAAGGGCTTGTCAATGTTTTTCTCTCATCAATTTATTCTTTGTAAACTGACAGCAAAGAACATGTATTAATTTTATGATCAGTAGAAGAAATTCATTTCAAATACATTAAAAACAAAAGAAAAATATCAAGGATATAAATGTCTATAATGAACCTAATATTGTAAGAGCACTCAAATTCACAGGAGTTAATTTTCATTTAAAAATCAAATTAACACTGCCAATGTACCATGCTATCATTTTTGAGACAGAGGGCCTATATCCTCTCTTTATAAAATAACTACATTGATGCAGTGAAAACAGACCAGAAGTGTAAAAGTTCACTCTATCTATTATACACACAGAATGGTAAAACCCTAGTTATTTAATTAAAACTCTTAAATGAATGACAGATAAGAAAATTATGTTTTCAAACATTCAAGAAAAGACCAAACACTGTCTCAAAGCCACAAAGAAAAAAATTACTTCTATTACTCACCATCACCTCCATATTCTTATGAGGTTCCACAAATCCATTAACAGTTAACTTACGAAGCACTGGAAAATAAAGGTAAACTTTACTTGGATCTTATTTCTTCACATTAAAATCATAATGATGATGTTAAGCTAAAATCACAATTATAATAAAAACTGAATCATAAAACCTAATCAAGCTTGAAGGTTAATCTACCTTTACTCTCTCATTTAATAGAAGAAAAGTAACACCGGGTTGTTTGGTTAGGAAGTGAAAGCCTAGTAGTTATGAACCACAAAAGTAGTGTTGTTGTCACTAATCATAGCTATAATGCAAAATTTAGTTTAATTTATATAATTATCAGTATTCTTACTTGAAATTGAGGCTATCTCCATAAATTTTAACATAGACTAAAAAACTTCAGTATTAGGCTACATTAATAGAACTATAATGTCTTATAAAAATTATACTAATTTCAAATCTGAAATAGAATTTAGTGCTCAAACGTGAGCACTGAGAGACAAGTAGGATAACAGAATTCCAGGCAACACTAGATTTAAATCCTTGGTCCACTGCCTACCTGCTATATTATTTTGAGAAATCTTTCTTCTAGATCTAATTTTCCTCATTTGTAAAATGTGGTTAATATATCCTACTTGTAGGGTTAAGTGTCCTGGGTTGAATCCCTGGTACCAAAAAAAAAAAAAAAAAAAAAAGGAATGACAACATTATCTCAGTTCACTTCCATTAACAGATTTTGTCAAAAATCCCTTAAAATCATTTACACATTTGTTCACAGGAATTGCCAAAACATGCTGACAATTTGGGATTTGTTTCATTAATACAAGTGATGCATTAGGGGAGTGCCAAGAATGTGTGGTGGGATTCAAAGGTACGAGAGTAAGTATGATAGAACAGCTAGTAAGTAAAACTGGGAAGAATGCAAATGAATTGTAGCAAGAAAGAAATACAGTTTACATGAGATTAAAAACAACAAAAACAAAAACAAAAAAAGTCTTAGTAACCAGAATAGGAGAGGGGCTGGAAGAGAAAGAATATGAAACAAATGTGTATGTTTTAGAAAAAGAATCTTGGAATATATTCATCAAGATATATAACTAAGGCAAGATGAAATAGAAATTTATGCTAAGGGAATGCAGATAAGCAAAGTTTAAGAAAGCACAGGTTGATGAGTCCTCAAGCACTTCTAAAAACCTAAGTGAACCTGAGGCATAACCATCCTTTGGGAAAGGATGGCTATAAGATTAAGCTCAATCAAGCTTCTAATACTTCAAAAAAAAGTTAGCAAAGCAATGAGAAGTATAGGGGCCAAGAATGAGAAAAGTAAAGTAGAAACAAAAAGTAGAGGTCCATGAAAGGAATATATTCAGGGGCATAAGGCCATAGTAATATGAATTTTAAAAAGGTAGAGGAGAAGTCCCCCCCCAAAAAAACCTCACAAATGACCAATAAGCCCTTGTCTCTCAGGAAGAAATCAAAAATATTTTTACCAGTGCAATCTGGAACAACAACAACAACAACAACAAAAAACTATTTGGTGACTGTCTTGAGGTATACCACTTAAAAAAAAAAAAAACATATCAAGATTAACAGTACCTTTTAATGATAGTAGAGTTCGTTCAAGTGAACTTAGAATTGCAGCTTCACTGCCAGAAGAAATCTGCTGCAGGAATGTATCTGTATGATGATTCCACAGAGAGCAGGCAAAATTATAAATTCCAGAAGCTAACTACAAAGAAACAGAAACCAAATAATTCATGACATATTATAAACTTAGAACAATAATAAATTAGAACTACAAAGTAATACATTTTTGTTTTACCATAAAACATTTTAAATAAGATTTAAAATAGAATATTTCTAGTAATGTTTCAAATATGTTTTAGTCCCAATGCAGATAAGAAAGCATAAATACACTGGCTATTGCTCTAAACACAAACACACACACACACACCCTGAAACTATTAGTTTCTTGAACCAATACTTAACTAATGTCTGCACTGCAGTCTGATATTTTTTACCTTTACCACCTCTACCCCTCTAATCATGGGTTTGCAACCCGAGTTTAAAAAACAGACTGTTTTTTTTTAGTAGAGTGTTCACTAATTATATCAGATAAATGAATACACTATACCATACAAAAAGTAATCAAACTTTTTCTTTATTTCTTTTTTTTTGGGGGGGGGAGACTGGGGATTGAATTCATGGGCACTGAACACTGAGCCACATGCCCAACCCTATTTTGTATTTTATTTGGAGACAAGGTCTCACTGAGTTGCTTAGCACCTCACTTTTGCTGAGGCTGGCTCTGCACTCAGCACTCTTTTGCCTCAGCCTCCAGAGCCATAAAGTAGTCAAACTTTCTATGTTCCAGTTTTATGCAAAGAACTCTGGGATATTTAAACCCAGGAACATACAAACCACATGGCTTCTCCAGATGCATTCCTAATGTATACCACTATTTAAAAACCTTGACTTTCCCAATAATAATGTAGTAAGCTTCTGTCTCCCCGTGTGAAGCAGAACCAGTATGGTATCTTCAGTTCTTTCCACAAGGTCTCAGAGCAATACAGCTAAACCTGGATAGCCACTTAGCTAAAAATAGATAAATAGATAAATAGATACAAGAGTACTGACTAGTGATCATTAATGTAATTTGAAATATTTTTCTTATTCAAGATTATCAGGTTGTATCATTTTGATTAACTTTGCCTTTTCCTCAGCTACTCTGAGTCTTGGAACATATCATTTGATTTCCTAGAACACAAAGGATATAGGGCTTTCAAAAACATTGGCAAAAACAGTTTGATCCCTAAACTCTGGTAGGCTGTTTTGGGATAGCTTCTCATCAATTCTCGGGTTCTAAAGAAGTACAAAGGTCTCTGTCCCATTTCCCTTGAAAAAGAGCAGCGGAATATAAAACTGCCTTTCAGTAATGAGGTATCCCACAACTTGCACTAGAGTCATACATACCCAATTGTTGCAGTGTCATTCTTTCTAGCATATGAAGCAAAGCTGGTACCTTCAGCTAACTTCCTTTTTATGTCAAATTAAGTAATAAACTATCTGAATATGAAAGTGGCCCTCTGACCCAGTGCCTACTAGAGAAAAAGATAGGCCCAAATCTCCATCTAATACAGCTTAGGAACTGTATTCCTCAACAAGACCCCTGCAGTGTAAGAAATAAAAATCCAGAATCAATAAATGGTATACAGTATAAAACTAAAAAGCTTCTTCACTGCAAAGGAAAACAATCAAGAACATGAAGGGGGATCGGACAGAATGGGAGAAAATCTTTACCACTTGCACTTCAGGATATATAAAGAACTCAAAAAATTTAACACCCCCCCCCAAAAAAAAAGAAAGAAAAAAAAGCCCACACAAATAATATATGACTCAATAAATGGGCAAAGGAACTGAACAGATGAAATACAATCGATCAGTCAACAAATATTTTGAAAAATGGTCAGCATCTCTAGCAATTAGAGAAATGCAAATTAAAACTACACTGAGATTTCATCTCATTCCAGTCAGAATGGCAATTATCAAGAATTCAAGTAGTAATGAATATTGGTGAGGATGTGGGGAAAAGGTTCACTCATAAATTGCTATTTGCACTGGAAATTGGTGAACCCCGCTGGAAAGCAGTATGGAGATTCCTCAGAAAACTTGGAATGGAGCCACCATTTGACCTAGTTATCTCACTCTTTGGTATATACCCAAAAGACTTAAAAAAAGCATGCTATACTGATACAGCCACATCAATGTTCATAGTAGCTCAATTCACAAATATAGTCATCTGATCCTTGACAATGGTGCCAAAAACATACTGGAGAAAAGACAGCCTTTTGGAAAATTATATATCCATATGTAGATGAATAAAACTAGCTCACTCTACATCAATTCCAACCTAAGGATCCCTCAACAGATGAACTGATAAAGAAAATATGGTACCTGTACACAATGGAATATTACTTTGTCATAAAAAATGAAATTATGGCATTTGCTGATAAATGGATAGAAATAGAAACTATCATGCTAAGTGAAATAAGCCAATCCCAAAAAACCAAAGGCTGAATGGTCTCTGCTATGCAGATTGCTGGTTCATTGGATTGGACAAGAGGGAATGAGGGGATGGAAGGGAGATAGGAATGGGACAGTAGAAATGAATCAGACATAAGTTTCCTATGTTCATTTATAAACACATGACCAGTTTCATTCCACATAATGTACAACCATAAAAATGGGAAGTTATACTCCACATATGTATGATATCTACTGTCATGTATAACTAAAAAGAATAAGAAGTTTTTTTTATTTAAAGTGGCCCTCTAGACTACACACTAGAACATCACTTTGGAAAGCAGTATGGGGATTCCTCAAAAAACTAAAAATGAAACCACAATATGACCCACTATTCTATTCTTTGGTACTTATCTGAAGAACTAAAATCAGCAAACAGCAATACAGCCACCTCAATGTTTATTGCAGCACAATTTACAACATTCAAATCATGGAGTCAACCCAGATGCTCATCAAGAGATGAATGGATTAAGAAACCGTGGTATGGGGTTGGGGTTGTGGCTCAGTGGTAGAGCCCTCGCCTGGCATGCACGAGGCACTGGGTTCGATCCTCAGCACCACACAAATGTAAAATAAAGATATTTGTCCACCTAAAGCTAAAAAATAAACATTTTTTTAAAAAAGGAAAACGAAACAGTGGTATATATACATAATGTACTTTTACTCAGTCATAAAGATTGAAATTATAGTATTTGCTTTTAAATGGATGAAAATGGAGAACATCATGCTAAGTAAAAGGGCCCAATGTTTCCTCTCGTATGTGGAAGCTAGAGCAAAATAAGGAAAAGAATGAGGGGAGGATCAGATATCATAAAGACACAGGGAAGATCAGAGAAGATCAAGAGGAAAGGAGGAGGGATGGGGAAAGGAAGGAAATGCAAAATAAATTTTGAAAATTCATGCTATGTGCGTTATGTAAACATACCACAGGGAATTTCAATTTTATGCAAAAGTAGAAATGATCAAATATAAAATAAATAGATAGATAAATAGATAAATTGGTTAAAGGAAAAATCAGTAAAGAAGAGAGAGAAGAATGGGGGGAGACAGGTGGAAAGGAAAGGAGGGAGGAATGTGAAGTGAAATCGAATTCCATGTATGTATCATTCTGTCAGGATGAACCTAACTGATATGTATAACTATAAGTCTCTAATAAAAAGCAAAAAATGATGGGCCTCTGTATCTTTGTCAACTAAATCAGAAATAGGCCTTGGCCCTCTTTTCTGTGTGTACTTGATAATAGAGTCAATGACTATTTCTTAAGCCATTTTTGCATATTCTCATATTTCAAAGAGTAAGATCAAATTATTTAAATCCAAATGTTTCATTATAGCCCAAATATCATAGCATAAGCAGCAAATATCATAAAAAGTTAATCTAAAGAAGGCACACAAACAAATACAGTCATCTGATCCTTGACAATGGTGCCAAAAACATACTGGAGAAAAGACAGCCTTTTGGAAAATTATATATCCATATGTAGATGAATAAAACTAGCTCACTCTATACAATTCAACTCAAAGTGGATCAAAGACCACAAATTTTGCAACTGTTCTAAGAAAACAGGGTCGACATTCCAACATAGAGGTGCAGGCAATGACTTTCTTCTAAGACTCCTGAAGCTCAAGAAATAAGAACAAGAATAAGTAAATAGTATGGTATCCAATTAAAAAGCTTCTGTGTAATAAAGGAAACAAGAATGTGAAGATAAAGTTAACAGAATGGGAAAAAATCTTTAAATGTTACTCTATCGACACAAGGTTAATATTCAGAACACAGAAAGAACTCACAAAGCTCAACACTAAAAAAAAAAGTAATAACAATCTAATCAATGAATGAGCAAATGAACTAAACAGGCATTTCTCAAAAGAAATACAGATGCCCAACATAAATGAAAAACATGATCAACATCTTCAGCAATCAGGAAAATGCAAATCAAAACTACACTGAGATTTCAACACAGAATGGTCATCATCAAGAGTACTAACACTAAAACTAACACTAATACCAATACTTACAAAAAATGCTGGCAAGGACACAGGGGAAAGGAACACTCAACATTGGAGAATTTTAAATTACTACAACCATTACAGAAATCAGTACAATCAAAAGACTAGGAATGAAACCACCATTTGACCCACCTATTCCACTCCTTGGTATTTATCTAAAGGAACTAAAATGAGCATATCACAGTGATACACGCATCTCCATATTTATAGCAGCACAATTGACAACAGTCAAATTATGTAACCAGCCTAGGTATCTGTGATAAAGAAAATATGGTATATCTAACAAGAAAATTTTATCCAGCCTAAAAAAGAATGGAATTATATCATTTGCCAGTAAATGGATAGAACTAGAGAACATCATGCTAAGTGGACTCCAAAAGTCAACGATCATATGTTTTCTTCTCATGTATAGAAGGTAATGGGGATGGGAGAATATAAAGGGTTCTCATGAGTATAGAAGAGAGAGCAGTAGGGCAGAAAAAGAAAAACAGAGGGAAGAGGGAAGGCAAAGGAGAGGTACTAGAGAATGAAATCAATCAAATTATGTAATGTACATGGATGAATCTATCACAATGAATCCCACTATTATGTATAAATATTGTGCACCAATAAAAAAAAGTCAGAGTGACATCTTCTC